TCATGGAACACTACATCAAAAACTAGTGGAGACTAACATAACACAATTAAAAACAAAAACAAAAACAAAAAAAGTATGTCCCAGTTCTAAAATGCAATGGTTTCCGACTCACCTCAACTCTGTCACTTGAGAGGGAAAATAATTACCTATTCATTTCATTTGTGTTTAATTCATTTTTCATTCATTTTTCTCTCACCCTAACTCCGCGGCCCCACTCCCCCACATACTTGCCTGCACCCAAGTAGTGCTCTTAGGAAACACCAGTGGGGCAGTGCTGCCATCTTGTGGCCACGACCAGCAAATGCACTTAACCTCACAGTTCTTTACAGTGAGAGGGATGGGGATTGGCAGACGGGGTGAAGTCCAAGTCAGATTAGATAAGAGAATCACAACCACCCAGAGTGACCGGAAGCAGTTGTCAGACAGACATCAGCCTGCATCATATGGTAATGTCACATTTCAAAGAGTAGTTTTTTTTTGTTTGTTAAGATTTTATTTATTTATTTGACAGAGATTACAAGTAGGCAGAGGCAGGCAGAGAGAGAGAGGAGGAAGCAGGCTCCCTGCCAAGCAGAGGGCCCGATGCGGGGCTCGATCCCAGGATCTTGGGATCATGACCTGAGCCGAAAGCAGAGGCTTTAACCCACTGAGCCACCCAGGTGCCCTGGGTAGTTTTTATAGTACGTAATAAAATGTGATATTAGCAGGGAAGCTGGGCTCCAAGCCAAGCCCTGCCCTAATAACCTTCAAAAAACAACAACAAAAAATCACTGTGACACATTTGCAGACATCCAGCCCCTGCCTGAACTCCATCGGTAAACTTGTAATTTTCCAAGAAAATTTCCTTTGCTGTGACAGTTCTTTCTTATCCTGAGCCAAGTGGGTCTGCTGCACTCACCAGTCCGAGTCCTACTCTCTGCCGGCCCTGAAATACATCTAATACCTTTTCACAAAACAGACCTCTCCCAAATGACAATCTTGAAGTCCCTACACTCTTCTGTCCCTTTCCAATGGGCCAGCGAAGTGTGTCCAGCACAGTGAAAGCTCAGTATTCTAGGAGTGTTCTGACCAGAGCAGCAGAACCACAGGACCACCCGCTTCCCCATTCTGGGCACTAGATCTATATTAGAAAACCACATCAGCTGATGTGACAACACTGGTTTTTCCTATTTGCGCAGTGGCTCAGTCACCCCACACCTCTGTTGGCATATATATTTTATTCATTTTTTAAATTTTTAAAGAAGATTTTATTTATTTATTTGACAGACAGAGATCACAAGTAGGCAGAGAAGCAGGCAGAGGGGGGTGGGGGGAAACAGGCTCCCCTGCTGAGCAGAGAGCCCGATGCGGGGCTCGATCATAGGACCCTGGGATCATGACCTGAGCCTAAGGCAGAGGCTTTATTTTAACCCACTGAGCCACACAGGCGCCCCTTTTTTAGTTTTTATTTTTTTTAAAGATTTATTTATTTGACAGAGAGAGACAGCGAGAAAGAGAATAAAGGCGAGGGGAGTGGGAGAGGGAGAAGCAGGCTTCTTGCTGAGCAGGGAGCCCAATGTGGGGCTTAATCCCAGGAACCTAGGACCATGACCTGATCTGAAGGCAGACGCTTAATGACTGAGCCACCCAGGCGCCCTATTCAGTTTTTTTTTTTAAAGATTTATTTTGAGAAAGAGAGAGGGAGTGTTGGGGGGGAGCAGAGGGAGAGACTCAAATAGACTCCCTGCTGAGCACAGAGCCCTGACTCAGGGCTAGATCTCATGACCCTGAGATCATGGCCTGAGCCAAAATCAAGAGTTAGACGCTTAGCTGACTGAACCACCCAGGAGCCCCATATTCAGTTTTATTTTTTAAGAAGTATTTATTAGAAAAAATATATATATTTATTAGAACCTGTTATGTACTATGCACTGGAGACGCAAAGATGAACCAGACCTGGTCTCTGCTCTCACTGAGCTCTGGGCTATGGAGGGAACCTAATTCAAAGCCAGACAATCACAGTTCAGCAGGAAATATCTCGACAGAGACAGACACAGACTTTTGAGGGCCATCCCAGCAAACCCCTGTGAAAATCTTCCACTCTTGTTTTCTGGGCTCAGTTTTCCTCATTTCAAGTTCAAAGTGAAAAAAAAAAGTAGTAATGCAAATGTCCCAGACAGTCATAGTTGGGTCAGACATTTCCTTCTGGCTAATCCAAGGCATTTATGGGCTCATTCTGAACATCCACTCTCTCCTGTTAGACTTCACCACATCTGCCACACGAACAGAAATTTCAGCAGGTCAGGAAACTTGAGTGTGAGTCTTGTGGTTCTGAGGCTAATGGAACTATATGATGCTGCACAAATCATACAATTTCCCTGTGCTTTAATTTCTGTTCTGTGAAATGGGGCAGTTACACCTTCTTCTCAGTAGCCACCACCTAGCAAACACCAGGCACTCATTAGGTGCTCAAATGTCTACTGAATATATGTATGAATAAATGATTATTAGGGCAGCTTGAATCATGGAATCAAACAACAGGCATTTTTTTCTTTTTTCTTTCTTCTTTTATTTTTTAAAGCTTAAACTCAAGGCTTTTTAAAAGATTTTATTTATTTATTTGACAGGCAGAGATCACAAGTAGGCAGAGAGGCAGGCAGAGAGAGAGGAGGAAGCAGGCTCCTTGCTGATCCCAGGATGCTGGGATCATGACCTGAGCCCAAGGCAGAGGCTTTAACCCACTGAGCCACCCAGGCGCCCCTCAATAGGCATTTCTGAATGTCTACTAAGTATACTGTGGAATCAGGAAACCAAATGGGGCAGAATGGTATTTTCTCCCCACTTTTCCCTTATCTCCTTACTGAAGGGGGAGCTTTGTAAGGCAGAGAGGCTGTGTTAAAACAAATAATGTTCTCAGGATGGGCTCTAAGTAGTTGTCAATATTAAGAAGAAAAAGGTCTGTTTGTCTTGGGGGGTGTTTTATATACATGCACCTGAGGGACCCAAAGCTCCTTCCCATGGTATCCAGGACCCAACCCTCCACCCCAAGTCCTTGGAGGGGAAAAGCAGACAGAAGGAACTGACAGGGAGCCAGGACTGAGGGGAGCACGAGGGAGGGCTGAGGAGCTCACTGACCCTGCAGCAGCCTGGGAGCGGACTGACAGATAACTCATGGGCAAAGGAAAGGGAGCAGGTCTCCCACCAGGTCCCTTGTGGCATGTGACCATTCATCAGTGAAATTTTCTTTCTGATAATGGACTGAACTTTTTACATGCTTCCTAACAAACCAGGCCTAGTTAAAGTGTTACAAGAATATCGCTTAATTCGACAAACACTGATAGAGTGCTCCCAAAGTGCCAGGCCCTACATAAGTTCAGGAACACAAAAATGAACAATAACAGCCCTTTCCCCCACTGCCCTCAAATATCACTATCCCATTAGCTCCACGCTTCTTCCCTGTGCTGCCCTACTCTCTGGTCTCCACCAACCCAAGTCCTACCCTATCAGCAAGACCCCTCCAAGCTCCACCTAATCCAGAGTCCCCTGAGTGACTCTGAGCCCATAATGAACTCCCGCCTCTTCTGGAATTTGGTTCCATTTTCATCTCTTAGGTTTTATGAATATATATCATCTCCCTGGTTAGATTTGAGCTTCCCAAGAACAGAGACCATTGTTAGAATTTTCCAGAGAAACCACATCCATGATTTGAATCAGACCAAGCTCAGACCAAGCCCAAGCCTTCAACTAGAGACCAATCCCTATTGTGCCTGCTTCATGAAGGTGCTTTATAAACTTTGTAGTAGCAAAGTCTATAATCTCCCACATTGTCAATAAGCAGCAATAATTTGAAAATTGAGAGGTTAAGAATGATCATACAGAAATCAGAAAGCGCTTGACTCGTGCCTTGCCTCTCCCCTCCTCTTAGGTCAAACAATCACGCCACCTGTTCTCACTCCTGCCTGGAGGCTGCCAGGGAGGACTTCCTTGTAAAACTTCCCCTCAGTCCCTGAAGATACCACTCAGCATTCAAGCCCTTCTCTCCTCTCTTTGAGCATATTTCCCAAAGTCTCTGAAATTAGTCAAGTTTAGTAAGTATCATGTTCTGTAACCGTTAATGATTACTCTAAACAGAATTACCTTCTTCCTTTGCCTTGGGCTGTTTCCAAACAAGGTCTGGAGCTAACAACCCCAAGAGCACAGGCAAACACCCTTTAAGGGCTCCTTCCTTCCTGTGGTTCCTGTTTCTTAGAGCTTCTTGGATGTAAAGCCCTTGGTGGGGGGGGGGGGTCTTCCACCAACCCAGTTCCTTCTCCTTTAGTCTGGAGCAACAAAGCCATAGCCACCTTCCTGATGAACAGCAAGCAGGCCCAGTTTGACCCACTGCTTCAGGGGCAATGTTCTGAGCAAGAGAGAAACAGCCTCTCCTCTGCAGTCCTCTCTCCTTCCCACCTTTTGTGGCCACAGAATTGGGAGGAAATTGTAAACACAGTGAAGACGGGACTTCTCAAGCAACACTCCTGTTGCTCCAGGGGCCCCGATGACAGAGGGGAGACAGATCATGCCATCCTCTCTTCTGCTGACCCTTAGTACTTGCTTTCTTGCCCAATGTTAAGCTAGAAAATATCACCAAAAAGTACAAGGAAATTCAAAGAGCAAAAAGATTTGGGGAAGAAATCATAGCACCCTGGGAGGTAGGGAGTGGGTGAGGAGGAGGGGAGGGAACCAGTATTACTGCCAAGTTGTCAGTCACCTTCTTGTGTTCTTAAGAATGCTTCATTTCTTTTGTTTGGTCAGTTTTTCCTCCCAGATTCCGTAAACCTGTTACCTAACGAGGTCAGCGTCACTTAGCCGTTCTCGCCCTGCAACAGGAATACTGGCCAGGGATTAAAGCCCAGACCACCATCCCAAGGAAGACTTCGGATTAAAGCCCAGACCACCATCCCAAGGAAGACTTCGGGAGCCTCCAACTGGGAACCCTCCACACTCTCTTCAAGTGACTCACAGCAGCACCAACAGTCACAATGAAAATTCTAATCCCTTTCCTCCTTCTGTTGCTGCCACTAATGCTGATGCCTGTGGTCTCTAGCAGCCCAAATCCAGGTAATAAGATTAATTTTCTATAAAGGGGAAATGGGGCGGCGGGGGGGATGTGGCAGAACACAGAAGAAAATGTGGCAAAAAACCTGTAACAACCATGCATTGAAATGTAGCCCCTTCCAGCTACAGGGATTTGAGACAAGTTAGTTTCTGCCAGTGCCTGGTTCCTCATTTACAAAAAGGAGAAGACTATACTTACATCCAAAGAGTGTTTCAAGAGCAAAATGAGATAGCGAGATAGTGGATATCAAAATGTCTGAAACTGTAGCTGCAAAATACAGATATATACTGGCTCAATAAAAATCTGCTCTCTGGGGGCACCTGGGTGGCTCAGTCGGTTGAGCTTCTGCCTTCAGCTCAGGTCATGATCTCAAGAGTCCTGGGATCGAGTCCGGCATTGGGTTCCCTGCTCAGTGGGGAGTCTACTTCTCTTCTCTCCCTGCTCTCGCTGTGTCAAAAAAATAAAAATAAAAATCTGCTCCCTTACCTTCTGCCCTTTATCCCTTCCCAGAAGAGCCAGTCTTGGTGAAGGCGGTATAAAGGTATTGAAGGCAACTGTACATTCATGGAGGATGAGAAGTCCTTGCTTATATTCTTTAGGGGCACCTGGGTGGCTCAGTCATTAAGCAGCTGCCGTCAGCTCAGGTCATGATCCCGGGGTCCTGGGATCGAGCCCCCCGTCGGGCTCTCTGCTCAGCGGGAAGCCTGCTTCTCCCTCTCCCACTCCCCCTGCTTGTGTTCCCTCTCTTGCTGTGTCTCTCCCTATCAAATAAATAAATAAAATGTTTTAAAAAATATTCTTTATAGTACACCAGGATGCCACCAATAACTTTTAATACTATTTAATGGTAAAGTAAAAAACTAGAAAGATCGTATCACCGGATAGTATCTATATTGGAAGCTTTAGCCATACTAAGCTCACATTTTGGAAAGTAGGCCTTGGGTTAAAGGCTCAAAATCAGCCCCAGCTTTCACTACATCTCAGGTGAGCTCACCATTAGCAGAACAACCATGCAGAAGAGAGCTCATCCCATGTATGTTTCTACTCAAGAAAACCAACTCCTCAAGGGCTAGTTTGAGGTAAAATAGCTTTTTTACATATTTACCGACAACTTGATACTTAAAATCAGAAGCTCACCTTACTCCACCCCAATTTTACACTTCCCTTCCCTTGTAGAGAGAGATCTCTGGAAGGTGCTGGACCCCATAGTTCTAGGGCCTAGACTGCCAGTCGGGAAGGAAAGGCTTTTCCATCATGGTGACCAACACCAAGGCTAGAGTCCTTACCCTTGATTCAAAGCCCTAACCACAACCTGCCTTTCCAATCCACTCCTCATCTCACTAACAAGTGCTCTGTGCTCCACCTAAACTAGACTGTTGGCTGTTCCCCGAACGGGTCTTGTGCTTCCCCACGAGCTTAACTTCTCTCATACACTCAGCTCAGAAACCACCTCCTCCTCACAGCCTCCCTGATTCCTCTCTCAACCAGATATGAGCCCTCTGTCCTGTGAACATGCTGCGTCCAAACGTGACCCTCTCTTTGCATTTGTCATATTCTGTCTCATACTGAAGGTATTTGTGTGCCTTTCCTACCTCTACCCCTGCCCTTCTAGACTGCAACCTCCTTGGTAGCACAATCTGGTATAGTGTTTCCATATCCCTCATTTTATCCAGCATAGTATTCAGTAAATATTTGGTAAGGGAAAGAATAAATGCTCAGGTTTCTAAGTTCAAAATGTTGCCCTTAAAAGACTCTACACCTGGGTTTGATAGCAGCTCTATTAACATTTGGGGCTGGGCAATTCTTTGCTGTAGCTGCTGTTCTGTGCATTGTAAGATGTCCAGCAGCACGGGTGTGACCTCTATCAACTAGATACCAAGCCTCTTCTCCCCTGCCCCCAGTTAAGATAGACAAAGTTAACTCCAGGCGTTGCCAAATGTCCCCTGGAGGGGGTAACCACCTCCAGCTGAGAACCCCTGCTCTATAACAATAGTTCTCAAACCTGGCGACACGTTTAGACTTTCCTAGATCTATAGACTCAGCCTTGGATCCCAGGGAACCTAGATCTAAATCCTCGTTCCACCCTTACTTTGCAGCCCTAGACAAGCTGCTTCACTTTTTGGAGCCCGTTTTACCATCTTAAAATGAGTAAAATACCATTTAGAACATAATTGTTGTGAATATTAAATGATCTATAAGGTGTACCTAGCAAGGATTCAATAAATGGACTGAGTGAAATATCTCAAGTAGCTCCTAAAAGACAACAGCAATGAATTGGGGAAAGCTCGCTCTGCCGCCAGATGGCGCTATTACAGACGCACCAGGGTCCATCCCAGTCTCCTCTTCTTCTTCTTTTTTTTTTTTTTAAGATTTTATTTATTTATTTGACAGACAGAGATCACAAGTAGGCAGAGAGGCCGGCAGAGAGAGAGAGGGGGAAGCAGGCTCCCCGCTGAGCAGAGAGCCCGATGCGGGGCTTGATCCCAGGACCCTGAGATCATGACCTGAGCCGAAGGCAGAGGCTTTAACCCACTGAGCCACCCAGGCGCCCCCCCATCCCAGTCTCTTAATCCAGTTTCGTAGCACCTCTCTGGCTGGAGGAAACAACACCCTCCACCTTCCCATCCCCCCCAAAATTCTCAAAATAAAATCTGATCTTACTTTATCTCTTAAAATAACCACATCCATGCACAGTGTGTTTTTCACAGAGAGGAATGAGAATAGATAAGAATATATGAAAATGTTAGGAAACAAATCACTTATAATAATAGATTAATTACTTATATCATTAAGTATGAAGTTATCTACAATAATTGTTGAAATATACTAAGTAATCCTATGTGGCAGGCGATGTTTTTTTTTAATTTTTTAAATTTATTTTATTTTTTCTTAAGATTTTATCTATTTATTTGATAAAGACACAGTGAGAGAGGGAACACAAGCAGGGGGAGTGGGAGAGGGAGAAGCTGGCTTCCCGCTGAGCAGGGATCCCCATGTGGGGCTTGATCCCCAGGACCCTGAGATCATGACCTAAGGCAGACACTTAACGACTGAGCCCCCAGGCGCCCCTAGCAAGGGAGGTTCCAAGCATTTCATACAGATTACCTCATTATGTCCTCACAGAAATATAATGGATTTTTAAATTCACTTTTAATTTTTCAGACTCAAGAAATGTTATAAAAACAGAGTTTACATATATCCTTCATCCAGTTTTTAAAAAATAATATCTTACATTACCATAACATGATTACCAAAACCAGGGAGTTAGCATTGACATAATACTATGAATGAATGTACTAATGTCCAGGTTTGCTAATCATCCTGTTAATGTCCTTTTTCTGGTCCAGAATCCAATCCAGGATACTAACCGGAATAAAGCTGTCTTGTCCCCTTGGTTTTCCCCAAGCTGGAGTAGTTTCTCAGCCTTCCTTGTCTTTCATGATTTTGACAGTTCTGAAGACTACTGGTCAGTTATTTTGTAGAAAGCCCCTCAGTTTGGGTTTGTCTGATGATTCTTCATGATTAAGATCAGATTATGTGCTTTTGGCAAGAGTACCACAGAAGTCATGTGTGCCTTCTCCATGCCTCACATCAGACGGCCCATGATACTGATCATTCCCAACTACTGATGATATTCATTTTGAACACTTGCTCAAGGTAGTGTCTGCCAGGTTTCTCTACTATAAAACTACTCTTTTCCCCACTCTAATTAATAAGTATCTTGTGAAGAGATACTTTAAGACTATACAAAAAGCAGGGTGCCTGGGTGGCTCAGTGGGCTAAAGCCTCTGCCTTTGGCTCGGGTTGTGATCCCAGAGTCCTGGGATCGATCCCCACATCGGGCTCTCTGCTCAGCGGGGAGCCTGCTTCCTCCTCCCTCTCTGCCTGCTTCTCTGCTTACTTGTGATCTCTGTCTGTCAAATAAATAAAACCTTTAAAAAAAAAAAGACTATACAAAAAGCCTATTTCTTCCAAATCCATTGACGATTCCCACCTTCAACAAAAGTTACTATGATATTAGCCAAATGGTGATTTTCTATTTCCATCATTCCTTATACATTTATTAGTTGGGATTCTACTATAAGAAAAAGCTTCTCGGGACGCCTGGGTGGCTCAGTCAATTAAGCGACTGCCTTCGGCTCAGGCCATGATCCTGGAGTCCCGGGATGGAGTTCCAGAATCGAGTCCTGCATCAGGCTCCCTGCTCAGTAGGGAGTCTGTTTCTCCCTCTGACCCTCCCTGCACCCTCATGCTCTCTCTCTTACTCTCTCTTAAATAAATAAAATCGTTTAAAAAAAGAAAGAAAGAAAAATCTTGTTCTCTCCCATTTACTTACTGAATTACTTATGAGCAAAGACTCATGGATATTTATGGATTATAATCCATTACTATCATTATTTGTTATGTTGTTCATGTTGTCTCAAAATTGACTATTGAGAGCTGCTACAAGCAGGCTTCTCTTTTTGGCATATCATTTTTTAACAGTTCCAGACTTTCTGATATCACAAGATGTTCCAGGCTCATCTTGTACTTCCCTGGCCTGCCTTGGAATCAACCATTTCTCCAAAGAGCTGTGGTTCCTTTCACTGGGCGATGGTACTCACAAGCCCTGGGCACTAAGGTCTGGCCCATGGCTACCAGGAGCTAGTGCTTCTACGCCCTCTAGTGGACGTAACTAGGAACTAGGACGTAGGACGTAGCTAGGAACATACTAATCCACAGGCACATAGTAATGGACAATTATTAGCCCCATTTTACAAATTAGGTAAATGAAAGACAGAAGTTAGGCAACTTGTCCGAAATCATAAAGCTAATATGTAGTGGAACAGCGAAGTCAAAATAATGATAGATCTACCACAAGTCCTAACAAGTGGGAGTTAGCTTCTTTACACATACAGGTCAGTAGAAAGCAACAAACCTAACATTCCAGCATAGACACCCTTTTTGGGACAAAGCGACAGAAGTCTGCAATAATAACCACAATAATAACAATCATGTACTGGACACCTACTTGGGCACTGACCACTGGGCACCCGCAGTAGCTTATTTATTCCTAATTCTGCAAGGTGGATACTACTATTCTCGTTTTACAAACCAGAGAACCAAAAATCAAAGAGGCCGAGACTGCATCGTTAAGGGACAGAGCAAGTAGTAGATGCCACGTCTGCCTGGATGTAAAGTTCATGCTTATTCCACTATATCAATATTTTCCAAAACTGATTTTTGGTAGGACATAAAAATTAGCTTTTACTTCAATAGTTATGTTTATGTTAACGTATGTTAGAAAAAAATCTAAGCATGTATCAAACCCCTAATCTCACAGATAATACAGCAGAGGATGAGGCTGGTTTTGTAAATTAAATCTGTTTAAAGAAAAAGTAAGAAGTAAATAATAGCATCATAAAGGTGGTCCAGAAATGTCTGAGGTTTGGGAAACATGATACTGTAGGAACGTGCAGCTTCATTTTAATTTATGCCATGGAATTAAGGTTGTAAAGACTGCAGAAAGAACAACACTTCGGGCGCCTGGGTGGCTCAGTGGGTTAAAGCTTCTGCCTTTGGCTCAGGTCATGATCTCAGGGTCCTGGGATCGAGCCCCGCATCGGGCTCTCTGTTCAGCAGGGAGCCTGCTTCCTCCTCTCTCTCTGCCTGCCTCTCTGCCTGCTTGTGATCGCTCTCTGTCAAATAAATAAATAAAATCTTAAAAAAAAAAAAAGAACACTTAAGAAACTTGGACCTGAGTTTTAGCTTCAGCTGGGTCACCATTACCTTTGTGAACTTGGGCATTTCATTTGCTCTCTCGGGGCCTCAGTTTCCTCATCTGAAAAAAAAAAGGGATAGTGATTTAATTTGTACAATCCTTTTACAAGCAATTTAGTAATAATATCAAGAAACATAAAACTATTCTTAACTTTTGACCCAGCAATTCCACTTTGGGAAATCTTGCCCAAGACAATAATCTAACGTTTGGAAAACAGTTACAAACATAAGGAATTTTATCAATATCCAAAAGTAAAACAATCTAAATATTCAGCAATGAATGAAGAGTTAAATAATTTGGAGGTCATATGCTTATTGGGAATGTTAGGTAGTCATTAAAAATGTCTGTTTGGGGGGCACCTGGCTGGCTCAGTCAGTTAAGTGTCTGCCTTGGGCTCGGGTCATGATCTTGGGGTCCTGGGATCAAGCCCCAAGTTATCGCTGGGCTCCCAGCTCAACAGGGAGTCTGCCCCCCACTCATGCTCTCTCTCTCTCTAATAAATAAATAAAATCTTTTTAAAAATGGCGGGGGGGGCCTGGGCACCTCAGTTAGTTGAGTGTCCCACTTTTGATTTCAGCTCAGGTCATGATCTCAGGGTCATGGGATCCAGTCCTGAGTAAGACTCTGCCAGGGCATGGAGCCTGCTTGAGATTCTCTCTCTCCCTCTGCCTCTCTCTGCTTGTACTCTCTCTTTTTCTCAAAAAAAAAAAAAAAAAAGTTAATAAAAATGTCCATCATAGGGGCACCTGGGTGGTTCAGTGGGTTAAAGCCTCTGCCTTCGGCTCAGGTCATGATCCCAGGGTTCTGAGATAGAGCCCCGCATCAGGCTCTCTGCTCAGCAGGGAGCCTGCTTCCTCCCCTCTCTCTCCTCTCCTCTTCCTGCCTGCCTCTCTGCTTACTTGTGATCTCTGTCTGTCAAATAAATAAAATCTTGGGATGCCTGGGTGGCTCAGTTGTTCAAGCCGCTGCCTTCAGCTCAGGTCATGATCCCAGGGTCCTGGGATTGAGTCCCGCATTGGGCTCCTTGTCCAGCGGGGAGCCTGCTTCTCTTTCTGCCTCTGCCTGCCACTCTGCCTGCTTGTGCTCTCTCTATGACAAATAAATAAATAAAATCTTTTTAAAAATAAATAAATAAATAAATCTTAAAAAAAATCCATCATAAAGATGACATAGCAACATGTTTATAAAGTGAATAACAACAAAAAAAAACCTTGTTCACATACTATGGTTATCACTGTAGAAAGAAAATCATATGCAGGAAACACACCAAAATACCACCAGATGGTAAGAGTGAAGATTTCTTTATTTGTACTTTCCAAATTTTCTCTAATATAGCTCTATACATTTAGAATTTTAAAAACTTCTAACTAAAGAGATTCAACTAAATAACCTCCAAGATTCCCTCTGGCTCTAGTATTCTGTGGCCTTCCTCTGGAACTACAAGTAGAGGTCAGGCGAAAGTAAAATATTAGAAAAGTTCAGACGGCAGGGGCTATGTGTGTCTGCCTGAGTTATTTTTTTTTTTAAGATTTTATTTATTTATTTGACAGACAGAGATCACAAGTAGTCAGAGAGGCAGGCAGAGAGAGAGGTGGAGGCAGGCTCCCTGCAGAGCCGAGAGCCCGATGCGGGGCTCAATCCCAGGACCCTGGGATCATCACCTGAGCCAAAGGCAGAGGCTTAATCCACTGAGCCACACAGGCACCCCTGCTTGAGTTACTTTAATAGCACTCAAAACAGCACATGAGAACATTTGGAAACTAGTACTTGGGGAAATGGTGCAATACCTTCCATCTGTGTGGCAGAAAGGGCACAAGTCTGGGAAAGAGCCCTACATTGAATCAAAGGATCTCTAAGGGCCCTCTCCACACAACTCGTCCATTTGTTTACTGTACAAACATTTACCAAGTGCCTGCCATGTGTCAGCTCTATACAGTTGAATGACTAATGAGCCATCGGTGGGAGCAAGATTTTTAGTTTCCTGTAGCACAGAATGAGGGGCTTAAACAACAGAAATTTATTTTCTGACAACTCTGGTATCTCTTTGCCCAAATCATTTCTTCTTATAGGGACTCCAGTTGGACTGAATTAGGACCCACCATAACGACCTCATCTTAACTTGAACTCGTTTTAACACAGTCACCTCTCTAAAGATCCTATCTTCAAATAAAGTCATTCTGGGGGTTAGGGCTTCATCACGAATTGAGGGGGGGGAAACAATTCAATGTCCACAACAGATTTCAAACAACAAACTATATGTATAACTGTGCATTAAAAGAACTGCCTTCAAATACAGTGGGAAACCATGTGAAGGCGTAATTGATTCTTACAGGATATATCAGAAACCACTATGCCAAGGAAGCACCATCTGGGCCCACTTCTAGCTACAGAATCTCAAGTCTATTAACTATCATCCTTGACTATCACAGAAATATTACCATTTCACAAAATCGGAATCAGGTGAGACAGCATCAGGTGATAAGACAGACTTGACTAGAGGCCAAAAGAGGAATGGATTTGTTCCAGAGGCACAAAAGTAAATACCATCCTCTTATAGTTGAACTTGGATTATGGATGCAAATATAGGGAATGTAAAGGTCAGGTGAAGATCCTGACGAGTCTATGGAATAATCTGCTCCTTGTTCTCATTTCTGAAGTCATCAGAACTTTAATGTGTGCTGGGGCTAGGGCGTATTATCGGGCCCTCTTTTTCTTTTTCCTAAAGATTTATTTATTTATTTGAGAGAGAGAGCGAGAGCAGGAGAAGGGTGGGAGGGACAGAGAGAGAGACAGAGAGAGAGAAACCCAAGCAGACTCCACACTGAGCACAGAAGCCGACACGGGGCTCGAAGCAGGGCTTAATCTCACAACCCTGAGATCATGACCTTAGCCAAAACCAAGGGTCAGATGCTTAGTCAACTGAGCCGCCCAGGTGCTCCTGTCAGATCATGATTAACACTCACCTTTTATCCTTTCTTCCATCCAGAAGCCATTCTTTTTCCACCTACCTCCAGCTAAGCTCTTCTCTAAGCCATATCTTAAACCTCAATTCCTTATCCATTTAAAATATTCATGGGGCACCTGGGTAGCTCAGTGGGTTAAAGCCTCTGCCTTCAGCTCAGGTCATGATCCCAGGGTGCTGGGATTGAGCTCCGCATCAGGCTCTCTGCTCAGCAGGGAGTCTGCTTCTCCCTCTCTCTCTGACTGCCTCTCTGCCTATCAAATAAATAAATAAAATCTTAAAAAATAAATAAAATAAAATATTCCTCTCTTGAAGTACCCTAGAGCCCTGAAAAATGAAGGAGGGGCATCTGGGTGGCTCAGTCAGTTAAGCGTCTGCTTTTGGCTCAGGTCTTGTTCTCAGGGTCCTGGGATCCAGCTTGGCATGAGCATTGGTCTCCCTGCTCAGTGGGGAGCCTTCTTCTCTCTCCCCCACTCTCCCTCTGCCACTCCCACTACTTGTGTGCCTGCTCTCTCTTTCTCTCAAATAAATAAAATCTTAAGAAAAAAAAAAAAAAAAGAGGAAGGAAAAACCAATGATGCAGGTAGCACAATAGTGGGGGACCATTTCTGTTGGCCCCTTCCCTTTCCGGTACCTGGCCATGACCTGTTTCCTTCCACCAGAGGTCGCCAGAGGCCATCGGGACGATCGCCAGGCTCCTAGGACCAGGCTCCACAAAGGCAGCCAAGAATGTGATTGCAAAGGTCAGTATCAACAATAGCACTGCACCATCCCAATCCAACTCTTTCCCCTGAGCCCCACTCCCGCCCTCCAAACACCAGTGCAGATGTTTTCTGAGCTAACTTCACCCACTGCCCTTCTCCATCAGCCCACCACATGTAGCACCAACACTTGTCTTCTTCCTGAGTCTCTGACAAGAGCAGGACCCCTCCAAGTTCTAGGGGGAGCTGGTTGAATCTCTGGCTGCCCTTCCCCCCTTATTCTTTTCCCCAAGAACCCAGGGCTGCTTTCCAAAAACTTCCTGAATCTTCTTTTTGATCTTCGTTAACTCATAAATAAGACTGAAATCAGAGAGGCAAAACGTTTGGCCAAGTTAAGACAGCCAGAGGAAGACACTAGATCTTTTCTTCATTTTTTGGTCTCCTTAATGATATCTTGATGCCCCCTCCAAACCTGCCACTAAATTCTTGCCAATACAGGTCAGGCAAAACAACTCAGAAATCCTGGTGCTCATATAACTGGGTATCCCCACTGTTCTGTGTTGACTCCTTTCCCCACCTCCACTGCAGTCTGAAAAAGAATCTGGAAGGCAAGGAAGATGGCAAGTAAAGCCCTGCCCTACTCCTTGTTCTCAACGATATTAACCTTCCCCTCTAAGTACCAACCCTGTTATTTCAGACTGGTTCCTGAGAGCCCCTAAAAGAAAACTTATGTCAATGCCTGAGATGCCAAAGAAGCAGTGTCCCTGTGATCAGTTCAAGGCCAGTGTGAAGAAAACCAGTAAGTTTCAAAAAGAATGACCTTCCTTCAACCAGAGTCACTCTGCGGAATAACAGTTCCACATTGTTATTCCATATGATTCCATATGATGGAGCAGGGGTTGAGAACAGACAAAAGAAGTGAAATGAAGACTAAGATAAACACACCTCTCAGCCCTTTCTACTCAATGTCAACTTGAGGAAATAAGAGTTAGGGAGGTAGATACAATTTTCGTAATACTAGAAAGGTTCGACCAAATTCTTAGATTTTAGAAGTCCATTGCTTATCAAAGTGGAAGGAGATGGGACTATTGGGGACTTGGTCATCAATCTCTGAAGATATCAAACATAATTTAGTTCCTTCCTTGAGAAGTTTTTAAATGTCATATAAAAAGTAAATTGGCAAATTAAACTGATTGAAATTATGATATTATGAAGGATGAGATAAATCAAGATCCTTATCACCGCTGGTAGAAGTAAAATACAATTTGGTAGTACCTATCGAAAATTTATTTACTTATTTTTAAATATTTTATTTTGGGGGGCACCACGGTGTCTTGGTTGGTTAAGTATCCAGCTCTAAGGAATGAGGAATGAAGAATATATTTTTTTATTTTAATTTCTAAATTTTTTTTAATTTTAATTTTTTTCCATTGGACAAGTCTCAATTTTTTACCATTTTGAAAGCTTTCCTAAAAATTAAAATTTTTTAAAGATTTTACTTATTTATTAGAGAGAGAGAGAGCATGAGAGGAGAGAGGTCAGAGGGAGAAGCAGACTCCCCTCCAAGCAGGTAGCCTAATGTGGGACTCGATCCCAAGACTCCAGGATCATGACCTGGGCTGAAGGCAGTTGCTTAACCAATTGAGCTACCCAGGCGCCCTAAAAATTAAATTTTGAAAACATTTTTAATATTGATCTTTATTTTCACCCTAGGGCACCAAAGGCACCACAGGAAGCCAAACAAGCACTGGAGAGCCTGCCAGGAATTTCTCAAACAATGTCAGCTAGCAAGCTTTGCACTGCCTTTATAGGACTCCCTCTCCCAATGAAACATTCTCAGTCAAGATGGTAGAGGACACCTAGAGGATGCCCTCCTCCCACTTCCAGCTCCCCTACCCTGTCCCTACTCCAGCGTTCTCACAAAGCATTTTCCCCAAGATTATTGCTTCCTCTAGTCCCCTCTTCTCTTGTCAGTCTTTTCCTGTGTGCCTCCTCCCTCCCTTTTCCCAGGCTTAAGCTTAATTACCTGGAAACCCTGGTTTCTTAACTGGTCCCAAATGACCTTACATATAACCAGGCAAGTAGCAAACAGAAAATAAATATTTTTAAATGTAGTAAGTCAAAATCCATTTCTTTCAGATGGGGTCTGGCAACTCATTTAATCCCCACTTTAGCCCGTTTACTGCAAACTCTACCCAGATTCTACACACACTTCCCACCACCAGCTTCATTCTTCCTCTCCACTGCCCAATTTTTTATTCTTTTACCGTTTTAACAAACCTTTTTGAGGTAAGAGCTAAGTGGAGCAAAGACAGCAGGTGTAGGAACAAATCTGACAGGATCTTACTAAAGATAATGTAGATTAAAAAAAACAAAACAAAACAACCTGGCACTCTCCCAACACATAGAATGCCTAAATACTAAAGTATTAATGATTTTTCTTATCATCATCATCATCATCAATGGTCATTGTACTCTGTGGGTTTCTAATTTAGTAGAGAAAACTTATATTCACAACCACAGTTCAAGGCTAGAGAGATGGTGTGGAAGATCTCAAATGCCATTGAAAAGGCCTTCATGCTGTAAAAATGGGAGGGTGTCATTTTTTTTTAACATGGAAATAAAATGATCAAAACAATAATATAGGGCGCCTGGGTGGCTCAGTTGGTTAAGCGACTACCTTCAGCTCAGGTCATGATCTTGGAATCCTGGGATGGAGTCCTGCTTCGGGCTCCCTGCTCAGCAGGGAGTCTGCTTTTCCCTCTGACCCCCTCCCCTCTCATGCTCTCTCTCTCTCAGGTAAATAAAATCTTTAAAAAAAACCCCCACAGTATATAAGGACATTAAACTGGCAGCCATTTGAAAGAATGAATAAAGAAGAAAAGACTATCACAGCAGTATAAAGACTACCTCCTCTCGGAGTGCCTCGGTGGCTCAGTGGGTTGAAGCCTCTGCCTTCGGCTCAGGTCGTGGTCTCAGGGTCCTGGGATCAGGCCCCGCGTCGGGCTCTCTGCTCGGCGGGGAGCCTGTTTCCCCTTCTCTCTCTGCCTGCCTCTCTGCCTACTTGTGATCTCTCTCTGTCAAAATAAAAAAAAAAAAAAAAAAAAAAAAAAAGACTGCCTCCTCTCTAACCCTTTCCTGAAAGGTCAGAAGGGGAGGGGGGGGAAATAAAAGGACACTCGTCCAGAATCTGGCTTCTGTCATCCCAGATGAAACAAAGGACTAAATTAGGATGCTTGCTTTAAGAGTAAAAAAACACTTAAACTGAGTGGTAAGTGGGGTGGGGTCCTATTTATGACACAAGAGGGCAAGCCCCTCCCCTCTGGTAGGAGAGTACTAGCCATACAGCCTCCTCCTGCTCCTAATCCCTCCTCCCACAGCAGGAGGCACAGAAGTCCATCACTTGGTACAGGAGTGGAGGTCAGCAGCGCCACTTGCCAACTGCCTTAGAACGGAAGAACCAGGGATGCCAAGATGAAGGAGTGGAATCCAAAGGGAGGTGCCATCACGAGAAATCAATGAGAGATCTGTGACAAAGGAGGTCTTGGGGGCCCAGAAGGATGAAATCTGGGAAAGCAACACCTCCCAAGATGGAAGTAACAACAATGGAACCACATTCTAAGTCAGTATCTAGGCATGACTTAGAACCTAAGCCACCCCAGACACCTATCACCCAGCCAGAGCCTGGGCCAAAAGTGACAGCCACAACCCAGCCAGCATCTAAGACTCATCAGGGACCCAATACTCAACAGGAACCGGCTCCCCAGCAAAGACCTCTCACTCAGCAGAATCCCCTTGCCCAACATGAAGCTGAATCCCAGCAGAAACCTAGCATCCAACAAAATTCAGCTCTGCAGGAGGAACTTCTTGCCCTGCAGGAGCCTGCACCACAGCAATCACCTCCCATGCACCGGGTGTCCTCCTCTCAACAGGAAGTTACCTCACAACAGGGACCTGGGCCAGGAAAAGAATCTGAAACTCAACAGGAGCCAGAACTGAGAGAGGCACAGGTTGGCCAGCCAGGATCCAGTCCAATGAAGCAACCTCCAGCTCATCGAGAAGCTGGATCAACACCTCCAGCTCAGCCTAGACCTAGACCCGAAAATGGATCACCTGACCAGAGTGAATCTACATCCCAAGAGAGACTGAGACAATCAGACCCTATAGCCCAGCAAAGAGCTCCAGCCCGAGGAGTGAAATCCCAGCTGAGATCTTCCACCGAGTGGGGATTTCTATCAAAACTACACCAAATTTCCATGCAGCGACCAGCCTCAGAGTGGAGGACGTTTTACGAGTGGGTCACAGATTCTGACTCAGAACCAGATGTGGGATCTCCATTAAAGAGCAATTCATCACCCAAGAGGGGTGGAACAGTGGCCAAGGGAAAGAAGCTGGCCTTCAAGGGGAAACATGAAGGGGCATCAGGGCATGGGGGGACATCAGCACATGGGAAGAGAACTGGCAGCCAGACTCACAGATACTACAGGGACGCAGGTGAGTTTGAGTCCAGAGGAACGGATCCTCCCAGAGACCATCAAGAGGAGCTGAGGACCACCAGTATGTCAGGTTGGCTCTGGGAATCCCTCACCAGTCCTTGAAGACAAAGCTCAACAGTCCCATCTGATAGATGAGAAAGCTGAGGCGGGGAGACACAGAGGCCTTGCAGGAGGCAGGACAGATATTGGGAATGGCAGACCCCGGCTGTGACTTCTTCCCCACACCAGGCTGCCTCCCCACGGGGGATTTAGGGGTAATCAGACAGAAGTGGGACAGGGCTCTGACCTAGGGGCTAGAAAACAGAGTAGCTGCCACCCCGTCCCCTCCCCCGCCAGTATTTGCCCATCGGTCCCCAAACTCACAGCCTTGGGGCACCTCCTGCCTTAGGCACCAGCCACCTGGTGCTGCACGTAGACCCTTACCCTCGCGGTGCTTCCATCCCCACTGGGGGTAAAATCGGGCCTCAGGGATCCTTGAGCTTTCCAGGTCGCCCCAGGCGGGCGGGGCGGCACCTACTCCTCTGCCAGGCAGGCTCCGTGGCCTGGGGGTTGTGTTCTCAGGAAGGGTGGCGTGGAAGAGGGGCTGCGGGGTCCGCCGAAGTCTCCAGCAAGGTTGAATCCGGACAAAGGGAGAGTTACCGGGACCAGTATGCGAGGGGGCCGGGCCTGAGACTCCGCGGGCCGCCAGCGCTGCCCCCTCCTCTGATGTGCTCAGGCCCAAGGGGGTACGTGAAGTCTCATTCACGCAATAAAGGGCTGGTTGTGGAAGCAGCCTGAGGGGAGGCAAGGCAGCCCCAATCCAGAAGCTGAGGGCTCCCATATGGCCAGGTAGTCCAAGGGTCCGGCAATGGTGGCCGCGGCTCGGAGGCCGGTCTCTTCCTGAAGGGCTGGGCCATCTCTCTCACACCTGCGAAGAGAGTAACGATGTCTCTCAAGGGCAGGGCTGCGCATGTGCTTCGGGAGGGAAGGGAGGGTTTGAGGTCCGCTTTTTCCGGCGCTGAGGATGAAGAGCTCTTTCTGTAGGCTCCAGAACCCAGTGTCAGGGCACGCGCTCCACACACCAACTGGGCAGCCTCCCCGCCCCGCCCCCGGCGCCCCGTCGGCAGTTGACTGCGTGCGCATGCGTGAGCCTCGAGACTCTTCCGTCTCCCGCCTTTTCCCAGGCACGCGCCAGGCACTCCGCGGCCGCTCTCGGCGGCAGATTCGCGGCTTCGGGCTAGTGCGCAGGCGCCGAGCATTCTCCTTCACCCCGCCCTTCCATTCTCTTGGAAAGGCCGAGAAAAGAACCCCGAGAAAGAGAGCAATAGGACATATAAGGCAGGAAGAAGGCGGGGCTTCCTTTTCCAACGGCTATCAGGCAGAGCCACACCTCCAGTGCTGTCGCCCCTCCCCGGCACTGAATTGCCGGAGGACTTGGCCCACCCCGCCCCCGCCCCCCCCAGGCGGAAGCTCAGAGGCGCCCCTCTTTCCCCTTCCACCAGGCAGTCCGGGTCGCGTTCTAGGGGATCCCTACTTGGGAAGGTGAGTGGGAAAGCGAGGTTGAGAGCCAGCACTTGAGAAGAGCGAGGCTTCCCTTCTGGGGTGATCCCCGCGGGACTCCCCGCTAGTCCTGTCCGAAGGACACTTTTCGCTGCCCCGGGGCTGCATTTTTCGTTGGTCACGGGCCCTTTAAAGTGTGCGAGGAGGCGGGGCCAGGCCTTAGGCCCAGGGCGGGACCCGGCAATGGAGTGCGGCCCGGATTGCTCAGGGGGCGGGACCCAGAGAAAAGCAAGCCCAGGATTGGGTGGTATGGGGGCCCGGTGGTGGTGCGCTGCGAGGATTGGATCTCCCGGCGAGGCCCGGCGACTGGAATCAGCCCCAGCGTGGGGATCGCAGAGAATTGATGGAGTCTGACTGGGGAAGCGGGGCAGCCAGGGCCGATGGGTCCCTGGCCTCGAAGAGGGCCAAAGAGGGTTCCAAGAGTCGTAGCCGTCGGCGGTGGCGAAAAAGCAAAACCAAAGGTGAGCTTACGGGGGCCGGCTGCAGAACGGAAGGAACCCTGGACATCCTGCAGGGAACTGGGGACTGAGTGGACGGACCCACGGCCCCGAGAAGTGGGGGAGCCCGTGGGCTGGCCCAATGCCGCCCTGCGAAGGGGTGCGGGGATGATCCATTGTGAGAATGGGTGACGTGAGAGTGGAATATTACCCTCACCCTAGAGACTACCGGATGCCCCAGTAGCGACTCGGGAACACGATCCTGAATGCGAGTCTCCAAGACTAGGGTTCCCTGTCCTGCTCCGTACTCGCTGTGTGACCGTGGGGCGATCCTGGCCTCGGTCTTTCCTACCAGGGAAATGGTTCGAGAGCCGGTTTTCAGGGCCCCAGCACTCATGAGAGGATAGTGGAGAGGTTTAGAAATTGTTGCTCAAAGAGGAAGTTTAGAGGGCATTCACTGTCAGGAAAAGGTAGGAGGAAGGGGTACCCCATAGTGGGAAGTGCCCCAGGCTCAAAACAGTATGACTCAAAACAGTCCATCCTCCCACCCTTCATTCAATCCATGCCTCAGTTCCTTGTCAGCCCACCTGCTTCAGCCCAGCATCACTGGGGCCTAACTTCCTGATCTCCCCCCACTCTTTTTAAAACTAGGGGGCTCTGGGTACGCTTCAGACCACCACACCCTCCCTGGCGCAAAGAAGGGAGGGCTGTCCACTGGGTTTCCAAGGTGTCACATTATTTACAGATCTCAACAGACGGGAGAAAGACTGACAAACCAGCAGAGATGCTGCAAGCCCCAGGCAGGACCACACATTAAGTTCTTGCTAGGGATGAGTATTTGTGAAGCCAAATGAAGACCTGTGGGAAGTTCCTGTGAAGGAAAGAAACTGACGTAGCCCCCAGGCCCTAGAGACCCCAAGCCAATTGTTCTCTCTGTCTTAGGCAACATCATTAGCCAAAGACAGAACTAGAGTTGGCTACACACAGGCACACAGGCACACAAGCACACCCACACAGACAGGCAGACAGGCTCCAAGCTCAGGCTGGGACCTGAGGGCATTCACTGTCATACTACCAGACACAGCCTCATGAGCGGGACAGCATGCCCAGAGGCAGTACAGACAAAAGTTAAAAAACGTGGGTGTTCCTGGTCTGGTTCCCGAGGTTATAAGCTATGGTACACTGGGCAACAGGCTGCTTCTTTCCCTGTCTGAACTTTCTGAGCTCTAAAATGGGCACAATGATAGGACTCCCTGGCTCGTAGGGCTGTTGTGAGGTTTGAATGAGTGTAGCACATTAGACACAAGCACACAGCACGACTGCCTGAGGGGCGGAGGTTATGATGACTGTTACTTCCCAGTAGGCAGTGAGTTCCCCTAAGAAGGGGCCGTGTCTGCCTTGTTTAGCCCATATTTTCATAGCCTCACATGCCAGGCACAGAGGCGCTCAGATATTTATTGGATTAGTAAGTGTATAAACTGTATGTATAAACTGTAACACCGGGATAATAATAATTGTACTGCCCTCAGGGCTATCATGAGGACTCAGAATCCTATTGGGTGGGGTGCTTTGCACAGGGCTGAGCCAGTCCTACCCACAAACCCAAGGGCCCACCCACTCCCAAAGACTCATTCCACTAAGCTCTCAGATCCACCTGTCATTTCCTGAGTTTCTGCCCTGGTGCCACGCCTCAGTAGGGTGAATCAGACCTTGCCCCAGCCCTCCAGGCTGGCTGCAGCAGTCCTAGTCATCAGTTTGATCTTGCCAGGAACCAATGACTCTAGCGTTATTATGATCACCCCATTTCCGAGATGACGACGCTGAGGCTCTGAGGGAGCAAGGTCAACTGGGCTTCCTTACCTGGCCAGTGAGGGCAGAGAGATGGCCAACCCAGCCTCCTGAGGGCAGGAGTGTGTGAACTCAAAAATTCTCTGTGCCCCCACCTTAACTGTGGATCTAGAAGGCTCCAGTTGCACAGATTCGTTCACTGAACATTAACTTGTGTCAGGCCTGGACTCTTGGTGGTGAGGACAGACTCACACTGGAGCTGGGGACACAGACGTGAATCACATAATCCCACAAATCAGTTATAATTGTAAACTGTGGCAAATATAAGAGGGAAAGTCCTAAGAAAATGAAAGAGGGAGGCTTCCCAGGAAGGTGACATTGGACCCAAGGATGAGCGAGTGTTGATGGCTGTGCAAGGGGGGCAGGGAGCCAAAGAAGACAGTGCGGGCAGAGACCTTGAGGCCCAAAGGAAGTGGCTCATTACAGCACAGAGGGAGCTCAGCAAGGGAGGGGAGGAAGAGGGGGCTGGGTGGGCAGGGAGCCCAGAGAGCACCTGGTTTGGGAGGCCATGTCCAGGATTGGGGGCCTTATCCTGAGAGCAAGGGTGGGGGTGTTGCAGGGGTAGGAGTATGTGACCGGACTGAAGTTCTAGAAAAATCCTCTGGCTGCTATGTGGAAAAGAGATTGAAGGGGGCAAAATCAGAGACACAAAAACTTAATACAATCATCTAGATGAGGGGTCAGTAGAAGTGGGAGAAGGGCCAGATTCCAGAGGCTTCTGTGGAGGCAGAGTGGGCAGAACTTTGTGATGCATTGGCTGGGAGTGGGAAGTGGCCACACACACACACACACACACACACACACACACACGGATGCACACAGATATGAGCATACATGTCCATAAACACACAGACACATGTCTGTGCAATCTCACAGGCCAAAAAGAACACAGACACAGATACACTCACAGGGGCCACAACACATACATACACACAGGCCCTAGACATACAGAAAAACATACAAATGCACAGACTGGGAAAAAATGTCACCTACCCACAAACACAGGCCAGGTGAACATGAGGCATGACATGTTCCCACATACATACATACATCATGGGTGAGCCTCCAAGACACTCATACCTGACCACCCAGAAAGCAGCCAGCTGAGACGTGATGGAGAGGAGACACACATACACACAGCAGAAACACTGCAGAGACCCCCTGAGCTGCCCTCCTCTGCCCTGTGACCATGGGCGGTCCTGTCCTCCTCTGCATCTCACTTGACTCTGCTGCCAGAAGGGGCGAGGACAGTCCCAGCCCCTGGGCTGCGGCGAGCACGAGACAAGTTACCGTGCCTGGCTCACAGGGTTGTCAGAATAGTGTTTGCCCTTTGAGGCAGACACACTCAGGGAGCAGGCTACCCTCGCTGCCCCCCACCTAGCTTCTGCCCTGCAGGGCTCTCCCCTTCAGAAGCCCTCGCCCCTCCCAGGCCTCAGAGCTGGCCCTTCCTCCTCCATCCTCGCTGAGCTGCCTTCCCTTCTCACCCTTGCTCAGTCCCCAGGGCCCAGAATCCAGGCTGGCTCCAGCTGTCCTGTGGCTCTTTAGGGCAAAGGGCTGGCACGAGGCGGCAGGACCCCTAGGTCCCACCTCTACCCCAGTTGTTGCCCACGGGCCTTGGGCGCCTGCCTCTGCCCCAGTGCCCTCTGCCTGAGATTCTTGGCAAGTTTCTGGCAACCTCAATATCCCTTCCTCCCTGTTCCACCCAGCTCAGTCCCTGGGGAGCTGCCTAGAACAGGGCGAAGGGCAGGGCCTTGGAATCATGAAGGCCTGGGATTCAGCCTCTTCCTCGCCACTGCTCATCCTGGCCCTTCCAGGCTCACCTGGTCACCAACCTCAGCACTGTCTCCAGAGGCCCCTATCTGTTCGTCTGGTTGTCTGTCCTGGGGAGGGGTGGTCCTCTCCCAAGCTCCCATTCACCTGCTTCTCCCCCACTCTGACTCTTCACGCTTTCTCTCCGTCTCCTTGGATATTTGCTGAGTAACTACTATGTGCCAGACCCCATGATGAGCCCTGAGGCCACCCCCTGCCCTAGGGGGCATGATAATCCAAAAGAAAAGAAATGGGGGCACCTTGGCGGTGTGGTCTGTTAAGGATCTGACTCATGGTTTTGGCTCAGGTCCAGATCTCGGGGTCATGAGATCAAGGCCTGCATCCCGGCTCCCCATTCAGCGGGGAGTCTGATGGAGTCTGATGGAGGATCTCCCTCCCTCTCCCTCTGCCCCTCCTGCTGTGTGCTCTCTCTCTCTCTCTCTCCAGCAAATAAATAAATAAATCTTAAAAAGAAAAAAAAAAAGAGAGAGAGAGAGAGAAGAGAAACAGAGGATTCACCTACAGCCAAGCAGAGGACCTCAGGGCCTCCCATTTGTGCAGACCCCTTCCAAAACCCTGTCCCTGAATTTGTATTTGTGATTTTACACCTTTTTTTTCCCTAAAGAGCTTTACTTTTATACATACCAACTTCATAGCTCCACAAAGTCTGGGTCTGTCCCGGGGAGGGGGGGAGACAAACAACAAACATGTAAATGAACGGGTCTAATTGCAAGTGTATGAAATTCTAGGAAGAAATGCAAGTATGATGGCAGAGAGTAGTGATAGGGGTGTGTGTCTTAGGTGGGGAGGGGTAGTTAGAGAGGGCCTGTGTGCGGAGGGGACAAGCCAGGCCTGAAGGGTAAGAAAGAGCTGGCCAGGTAAGGAGTACACGGAATCACATCAGTAAGGTGTTTATTGGAGCCTCAGTTTCCCATATGTGAGGTGGGGATGACAGTCACAGCAGGATGGCCTGTGAAGGGTAAGTGGCACGTGCCCAGTATGGGAACACCACACCGTAGGACGCGTGGCTCAGAACCCCTAGCTGAGCTTGGCACCACACTTAATTGGCTTTTGTGCTCTTGGGAGGGACAGGCAGGGCTGGCTCTCCCTGCCTACCACCACCAACAGCTGGGGCCGGCTGTGCCAGGGCCAGCGTAGGGGACGGGACAGGAGCTGAGATCACTGGGCCTTTGCTCCCTGAAATCCACCCTGGGGAGAGGGAGGGCAGCTGGGCTGGGCGAAAAGAGACAGTTTGTTCAGAACAGAGGCTAAGATTCCTGGCTCCTAAGAGAGAAGAGGGTTGGCAGGCTAGATACCTGTTTCTAATTGTTGAGGGGGTTGAGTGTCTGGATGTCTGGATCCAAGGGAGGAAGGGGCTGGGGCCTGGACTCCTGGGTTCTAAGGCAGAGGAGCCTGGGACAAGGACTCCCATTTGAGTGGAGGCCTGGGAACTGGCAGAGGGGGAGGGGAGCTGGGCTCCCTGCTGTGTTTCTAGCACATGGTTTCCCTGTCTTTTCTGGGTGGGAGGTGGAGCCAGTGGCCACACCCTGGGCAGGCTCTGCTCCTCCCCGCTGGTTTATCGCCCCAGGCTTCTGCTGGCACCCGCCACTCTCAGCCCTAGCCCAGCCTGCAGCTCAGCCTGGGGGAGCTCAGAAGAGGTCTGGGAGGGGTGAGTGCACTGTCTGCTGAGAGACAGGGGTGGTGGAGCTTTAAAACCCCAGGGGCTGCATGGGAGGGGAGACACCTTCTTGGGGATGAAGCAGCAGCCAGGCAGGGTCCTGAGTGGGCTTCAGGAGGGAAGAGTCCCCGGAGCAAAGGGCACCATCTCCACCAAGGGAGTCAACGGCAGCTTGCCCAGGGCCTGGGTGACAGTACAGGGACCCCAGAGGGAAGATCACCAGGGACCCTGAAGTATGGGGAGTTGGGCCTAGGCCAGGGCAAGTTTTTGAGGGCCATAGTCAGAGGTCCAGCTTCCAGAACCCTGGGAGGGGGACCAGCAGAAGTAAGGGCTCTGGACCCAGAGATCAGGGTTTGAATCCCATGCTGCCACTATCAATGCAAGCTTCAGCTCCTTACTGAACACCTCTGAGCCTCAGTTTCTCCTGTAAAATGGGGATGCTACCCGTAACAGTTGAAACAAGAATGGAGGCAGTCTGGTTCTCAGGGTGAGCAAGCACTAATGGAACAAACACACGGAAAGTTCTTAGTGCAGGTCTGGCACAGAGGGAGCTCAAGGTTAATGGCAGAGATGAAGGCGGCTGTTCCAAGCAGGGGAATGGGGCTGGCCTGTGCGATCTAAGCCAAGTGGAGAGGCCCAAAGACTGGGGGACCCAGCTGGGGAGCAGTGGGACCGACCGACCTGTGGGGATCCTTTTCCACAGAGGAAAAGGGAGGCAGCTAGAGCTTGGAGGAGGTTCCACAGCCAGATTCAAGGGACCAGGAGGGGACAGGATTGACTCCTCTGTTTTAAGTAAGGCTAGGATTATGAAATGGGTTCAGGAAGAGAATTAGGCTTGAGACAGGGTCTGGGGACATCACCAGGTAGATGGGAATGGATGGGTTGAGAGCTGAGCTCTCCCAAATTCTGGTGGAGGGGACGGGCCTGTGGGTGGCACCTGGGGCCTGAGAGAGGGGGGACCTAGTTAGGCTCCACACCTCTCAGAGAACCTCAGAGTCCTGGCCCCCAGCAGAGCAAGCACCTGAATTCTTGGGTCCCTGGAAGGAAGCAGAGGGGTGGGTAGACTCTGGGGTTGTAGGAGAGATGTGGAGCTAGGAAACCAAGAAGAGCCCCACATAGGAGATAGCAGGGAGAAAGGGGGTCTAGGGTCCGGACTCTTGGGAAGGAAGGGGATGGGACTCAAAAGGAAGGGGATGGGACATTAGACTGAACCCTTGGCCCTAGCCTGCCTAACAGAGGCTCCCCGCTGGCCCGCAGCCTCGTGGCTCACACACAGCATGGACCTGCGCACGATGACCCAGTCGCTGGTGACTCTGGCGGAGGACAACATGGCCTATTTCTCGAGCCAGGGCCCCGGGGAAACGGCACGGCGGCTGTCGGGAGTCTTCGCAGGGATTCGGGAGCAGGCGCTGGGGCTAGAGCCGGCCCTGGGCCGCCTGCTGAGCGTGGCACACCTCTTTGACCTGGACGCAGAGACACCGGCCAACGGGTACCGCAGCCTGGTGCACACGGCCCGCTGCTGCCTGGCACACCTGCTGCACAAGTCCCGCTACGTGGCCTCCAACCGCCGCAGCATCTTCTTCCGCACCAGCCACAACCTGGCAGAGCTCGAGGCCTATCTGGTTGCCCTCACCCAGCTCCGGGCCCTAGCCTACTATGCCCAGCGCCTGCTGGCCACTAACCGGCCCGGGGGGCTCTTCTTTGAGGGTGATGAGGGGCTCATTGCTGAGTTCCTGCGTGAGTATGTCACTCTGCATAAGGGCTGCTTCTACGGCCGCTGTCTGGGCTTCCAGGTGAGCTCCCCCCGCCACAGCCCTGCTCCCCTGGACCCACAGTGAAGGTGCCTGGTGGGCCCCCACCTGGCCCCACAGCGTGGTACAATTGCCACAGTGGTCAGTTTGCCTGGACTCCCGGGATGGTAGACCCGGAAAGGGGAAGCCATCTAGGGCTCAGGCAGCTGCACAGGACAGGGGGATGGGGGGGGGGTCTCAAACTTGTGGCACCTGGGTCGATTCCACCGAGTAGTAAGAAATCGTCAACTCGCATAGCTATTTGTGCCAGGATCCCCATGGCTTTCTATTATCCTATGCTCAGAGATCTGTCCAGTCTTTGTGGTGACCTGTCTGGCCCCTGAAATCATGAGACCCCTCAGAAGGGTGCTTAGTATTGTTCTCAAAGGCCTCTTCAAAAGCACATACCCCATTTAGTTGCCCCCTCTGGGGGGGGGGGCATGTGCAGGAGGGAGGGGGCTAGCTCCATTTTTCAGAGGCTCAAGGCCACAGGACCCCAGGTCAGCCTGGGCTGTTGACTCAGGATTTTCCAGCCATGGGGAAGGCCAAGGGGCACTTCCGAGTTGGTGACTACGAGGGGGACCTGGTGGTGGCCCCAACCCAGCCACTCCCACGGGGGTACTGCTCACCTTAGCACTGAAAGGAAGGCAGCCTTGGAGCCTTTGGACTCCGAGCAAAAGTTGTCTGGGGACTCAGAATTGGGGTGGGGGACGGGGTCCTGGGGCCTCAGAGCAGAGGTCCAACGTACTCCTATGAGGTCAGTGCTGGGTGCCCCAGGCCCCAGGCACATCAGGGAAGCCCCCCGCAGGAGCATCTGAAGCTGTGTGACTCTGCAGCCCCTCAGATTCTCTCTGGGTCCCCCCAATCCCCCAGCCCAGGTGGGCTTGGCAGTCTCTCAGCGTTCTTTCCCGATTCCCCACAGAGCAGCCTGTCCTCACCAATCCAGCCTGGATGTTCCTGGGAACTTCCCTTCACCTAAGCTGACCCCCAGCAAATATTGATCAGTCCAGCTGGGCCAGCTGGCTCCTCCCTGTGTCCTGGCCACGACCTTGGAGTCACAGGAGAGTGATCCTGGGGCCACCCAAGCCAGCATTCCAGGCAAAATGGCCAGGCACCGCTGTGCTCTCTGGCCCACTGGGCCCCTGGCCAGGGGCAAGGTCATGCCTGACAGCTCTTCTCTGAGGGCCCAGCAGCTATGCTACAGAACTGGCTATGCCCTGTAAAATGTCAGCCCCCACAGGGCAGAAGCCTCCGGGGTGTGACGCTAGCTCAGCACCTCCTGCTGCCCACCACCCAGCCCCCACCCAAAGCCTAGTGCCTAGCTTGAAGTAGGATGTAGGCCTGTATTTGTTGAATGAACAAAAGAACCCTGCTGGTCCCATGCCCAGCTTCCTATGGCTTTTTTCCTCTGATCTTGTCTCCCCATTGTCTTTTCTTAGCTGCCTGCCTCCTCCCTCAGATGCATCTCCCCATTTGGCTGTCTTTCTGCTGCAAGATCTCTGGCCCTGTCTCTGACCATCTCCTGTCTGTCTTCCTGCCACCCAGGAACTGGTCCCCATCCATGCGCCTGGCTTCATCTCTGTCCTCGCTGACTTTCAGGAAATCCCTGCATCACCTTACTCCCAGCCCTCTATGGCTCCACCCACATCTGGAATACACCCACATTCCTCCATGAGCCCCCTCTTCTCTGACCTTGGCCGCTGCCCCTCTCCCCTTGTTCACTCTGCTCCAGCTACACAGGTTACCCCCACCAAGCACAGGCTGCCTCAGAGCCTTTGCACTTGCTGTGTCCTCTGCATGGGCCAGCCTTCCTTTGCTTCGTCTGGATCCCTCCTCCAGCACCCTCTGGATACCCATCTAAGTAGCCTGACCCCTAGTCGTCAGTCTGTGTCCCCTCCACCTACTGGTTTTTCAAAGCATTCCTTGACATTGGACATGAGCCTTTGTTTGCTTCCTGTTGCCTAGAGCAATGTGAGTAGGAGCTCACTAAATGTTTGCTGAATGACCACGCCTCCCCCCAAACCACATCTCAGCCCCTCACTCCTGCCTCCAGTCCCTCCTGGGCAGCAGGTGACCCAGCAGCATCTCTCCACAGTTCACGCCGGCTATCCGGCCATTTCTGCAGACCATCTCCATTGGGCTGGTGTCCTTCGGGGAGCACTATAAGCGCAATGAAACAGGCCTTGGTGAGTTCCGGCCAGACCCTGCCTACAGCCCCACCTCCCTTCCTGTCCCTTCTCCTCCTTCCATCTCCCCCTACTGGAGTCCCTGATACCCCTCCTGACCCCCAGGTGTGACTGCCAGCTCCTTCTTCACCAGCGGCCGCTTTGCCATCGACCCAGAGCTGCGTGGGGCTGAGTTTGAGCGGATCATACAGAACCTAGATGTGCACTTCTGGAAAGCCTTCTGGAATATCACTGAGATTGAGGTGCTATCGGTGAGCAGGGGGCCTGATGAAGACCCCATGGGTGTTACAAGATGGGCACACTGGGGCCCAGAGACCCATCCCAGGCCACGTCAGGCCTCGGTGAGGCTCCGGGCTCGGGGACAGTGCGTGACGGAAAAGATGAGGGTGGGGATCGGAGAGGAGACATGAGGGGCTGCAAGCAGCTTGTCCCCAGTGCCCCTCCTGTCCCCTCCCACCAGTCTCTAGCGAACATGACATCAGCTACTGTGAGGGTAAGCCGCCTCCTCAGTCTGCCACCAGAGGCCTTTGAAATGCCGCTGATTGCTGACCCCAAGTTCACGGTCACCATCTCGCCCCCGCTGGCCCACTCGGGCCCCGGGCCGGTCCTCGTCAGGCTCATCTCCTATGACCTGCGTGAAGGACAGGTAGGAGATAATAGCCAAGGAGCACCGACAGCCCCCTTCCCCAGAGGCCCTCCCACCTCCCACTTCTTACACCTGCTCCCTATGCCCATCCTGTGTCTCTGAGCTCATCCCTTTGGTGGGATGAGGCCCGGGCAGGCTGCCCCAGCCTCACCCACATCATCCTCCCTCATCCCCTCGCCCTCCTACCCCCTGCCCAGGACAGCAAGGAGCTCAGCAACCTGGTGAAGTCCGAAGGGCCCTGGAGCCTGGAGCTGCGGCCATGCCCCCAGCAGGCACCCCGTGCACAGTCCCTGGTGGTGCACATCCACGGCGGTGGCTTCGTGGCCCAGACCTCCAAATCCCATGAACCCTACCTCAAGAGCTGGGCCCAGGAGCTGGGCGTTCCCATCCTCTCCATCGACTACTCCCTGGCCCCCGAGGCCCCCTTCCCCCGGGCGCTGGAGGAGTGCTTCTACGCTTACTGCTGGGCTGTCAAACACTGTGCCCTCCTCGGTGAGCCCCCGCCCCTCGATGTCACCCACTCCCTGGTCCTGCCACCACCCTCTACTGTGCGGGGAGAGAGCCATTTACCTGCTCAGGCCTCAGTTTTGCATCTGCTGCCTCCCCTCCCATCTCCTCCCACCCAGCTCTCTGCCACCTGTTCACCCCCTCCTGCCCCACTGCTCCCCGCTCTCCCCATCTAAGCCCTGATACCCCACCTGCCCACCTCTCCATGCCCTCGGACCTTTTCTTTCCTCCTCCTGTCTCTCCACCCGCCTGCCCTGCACGCCCAGCTCCCTGGCCCTCGCTCCAGCCCATTCTTCCAGCTCCTCTGACCTCCTGCTTCTGACATCTCCAGAGGCCCAGGACAAGGCAGGGGTGTGCCCCAGGGCACAGGGATGTGGCTCTTTTGTATGGTCAGCTGAACCCTGCCCTTCCATCTCCAGGCCTCCACTGCCCCTCCTTCCCGAAATGGGCCCTGGTCTCTCTATTCCCACCACCTGTCCCCCTTGCTTCTGACCTCCAGCCTCTCAAGCTCCCCAGAGCCTCATGATCTCCACATCATCAAGTCTCCCTGATTCCCCGACCGCTGTCCCCCAAACCGCTCCCTCAGTTTACCAATCTCTAAAATCGCAGTTGGCTAGACCTTGGGGTTGGAGCCCCCATACCCTACCTCTGAGAGTCCAGTGCTCCCAGCTCAGAGCTTGAGTTCCTCTCTGCCAAGCTAACCAAGCCCTCTCCAACCCCCCTCCAACCCAGGCTCAACAGGGGAACGGATATGCCTCGCAGGGGACAGCGCAGGTGGGAACCTCTGCTTCACTGTGTCCCTCCGGGCAGCAGCCTACGGGGTACGGGTGCCGGATGGCATCATGGCAGCTTACCCGGCCACGATGCTACAATCCACTGCCTCTCCCTCCCGCCTTCTGAGCCTCATGGACCCCCTGCTGCCCCTCAGTGTGCTCACCAAGTGTGTCAGCGCCTATGCTGGTAAGGCCACCACACACACAGCTGGGAGCCTGGGGAGGGCTTGGACGCCGGAGTCCTACAGGGACGGGGGTCAGCGCCCAGTCTCCCAGGGCTCGGGAAAGGAAATCAGAGACTCCTGGTCCCCACTGAAGCCATCAGATATTCTTGGGTCCCCAGGGGCACAGAGGCTTGACGTTGCGAGTGCTGAGACTGGGCCTCAGCCCTCTGCACACACTCCACAGGTGGAGAGACAGAGGACCCCTCCGACTCGGACCAGAAGGCACTGGGCATGTTGGGGCTGGTGCGACGGGACACAGCCCTGCTTTTCCGGGACCTTCGCATGGGCGCCTCCTCATGGCTCCACTCTTTCCTGGACTTGAGTGGGAACAAGTCCCACAGGAACTCAGTGTCCACAGCAGGTGAGTGAAGCCCTCCCCTCACGCACCCATTCGAGGTGGAGAGCCCAGTCCACCGGAAGTCCTGGGGGGAGGTGAGGGGCTGTGTCCTGGGGTGCTCAGGAAAGCAGAGATCACCTTCTGGCTCTAACCTCATATTTATCCCTGGGGACTACCGCACAGCCTTGATTTTCCACGACGCTCCACATCCTGGAATTTCCAGGACTTCCAGTCCACCAGGTCATCTCAGAACTTCCAGGAACTATAAGAGTTAGCCTTCCAAAAGTTGTTACGTGTGCTGATTTTCAATCCTGAGAATGCCACTCAAATCTCTTGGGCCCTCAGAGAGGAGTCCAACCCTCCTAGATTCTTCCCAGACTTTTAATAGAGACACATGGGGGTAATACCCCACTCCAGGGGCTGGCCTATGAGCCTAGGGGCAAGGAGATCAGCAGACTGCACAGACCTCAGTCAGTGGAAGAGATTCCTAGCCTCAGGGCGGGTGGCAGGATCCTCATGCATCCAAAAATCACTAACATCCAGGGATCTATTTTTTTCCCACCATTTTTTTTTTTAACATTTTAATGATCTTAAAGACAGTCAACTCATTTTCTATCTCCAGCACACCAAAGTACTTTTTGAATAATAGCGCGTGAATTCCTATTCAGAAAATTATTCCAATCGAATGTGTCCTACTTAAGATTTAAAAAAAAGATTTATTTATTTATTTTACAGAGAGAGAGAGAGAGAGAGAGAGAATAAGCTGGGGGAGTGGGAGAGGGAGAAGCAGGTTTCCTGACGAGCAGGGAGCCTGATGCGAGTCCCCTGGGATCATGACCTGAGCCAAAGGCAGGCGCTTAATGACTGAGCCATCCAGGTGCCCCTACTTTAACTTTTTAAATCTTAGGATATTCAAATGAATGCAAATACACACAAAAACAATTAAAAGGGATTTGAACCATGGATCATTGAGCACTGGGGCTTTCCCTAAAGGTCAGAGGTGGCAAGTACAGCCCCTAGAGGCACACAGGCCAGTCTAGCAACCTCAGGGGGATGGGGGCCAGGGACCCAATCTAGGAGTCTTGCTTTGTTCCTCCATGAAATGAGTATGGTCGGGGGACCTGCCTCATGAGTTTGTCGTTGGGACTTCATGCAACTGTTTGTGCCGAGCACCCAGCACAAACCCGACACCAGTAGGTGTTCCTGGCAGAAGCTGGCAGCCTGACAGGCTGCGCCCCATGACTCCCATCACTGGTTCCATGCCTGTGACCCTCTGGGTCATGAAGCACTTAGGCTGTTATTCTCCTATCATCTTGCATCTTGCCTTCGAGGATTTATGTAGACAAATTAAAAAAGAAAAAGATCTGCAGAAGGCAGCGTCCTGGCCCTAGTGTTAAGCAGCACAGATCTGATCAGATCAGCCAAGGTAGGCATTCCACGCTGGCCGAAGCGCATCTCCAGCATCAGCGGGGCACTTCTTGGCTCACTCAAAGGGAAGGGATAAAACCAAAGCACACGAAGGAAATGTTGGGAACAGATCTTTGGGACTACAGGAGTGGGGCCCCTGAGAATCAGTTTCCCAAGACTCTTTGGCTCCCTGTAAACACGGCCTCCTTTCACACTGTGTGGGCCTGCTCGCTACTCCGCTGTGGATACCCTGTGTCGAGCGGCCCTCACAGGCTGGCTGGGCCTCGTGCTGGGGTTGGGAAGGCCTACTACTACTACGACTAAGACATGAGGATAGCGTATGACCTCCCAATGGGGAGCCGTGGCTCATCCCACTGAGTCCTCACCACCTCCTGTGAGGTAAGGACTGTTTTTATGCCCTCTTTGTGCAGAGGAGGAAACTGAGCACTCAGAGGTAAAGTGACTTGCATTTCACCATCCTGGTCACCACACACACATGACCTGACTCCACCCGACTCCTTCCACCTCTCCCTTGGAGTTGCAGTAGGGGGCACGTGGGGGCTCTCCACCCATCCCCAAGGACGCAGTCTGGGGGAACACGCAGCCTCCAGAGCCTGGCACGCAGCTCCTCCTCCACAGGCCGCTGTCCTCCCCCTGACCCTTCCTGCCAGCCACTCACTCACCCAGCACACAGAGCCAGGATGGTGGGTGGCCCCGGCTGGCCGCCTGACCCGGCCCCTCTTGCAGAACCCATGCAGCGCAGCCTGTCTGAGGCAGCCCTGGTCCAGCCTGAGGGCCCGCTGGGCACAGACTCCCTCAAGAGCCTGACACTACACGACCTGAGCCTCAAGGGCAGCTCTGACACGTCAGACACCCCAGAGCTGTCACTATCCGCGGAGACACTTGCCCCCCCCACGCCCTCGGACATCAACTTCTTCGTGGGCCCCGACGACGCGCCAGAAGCTAAGGCGCCGGATGAGCTGAGCACCAAGGACAGAGGCTGTAGCGCGCGCGCCGCCTTCCCGGAGGGTTTCCACCCCAGGCGCTCCAGCCATAGCACCACCCGGATGCCTCTCTGCTCCTCGCCCATCGTCAAGAACCCCTTCATGTCGCCGCTGCTGGCTTCCGACAGCATGCTACAGAGCCTGCCACCCGTGCACATTGTGGTGAGCGCCAGACTGGGATGGTGCAGGGGCAGGCGGGCGCAGGTGCGCCTGGGGAAGAGAGCCCCGGAGACGGAGCCACGGAGGGGGAGGGGGAGGGCTGTCGGGGAACCAGGGCTGCCATTTCCTCTAGGGACAGTCGGGGAAAGGGAAAGAGGCGGTGGGTCTGGGGGGTGGGGGATGCTGGGCCGAGCGAGGCTCATTCTCCCACTCCCCGGTCCCTCCCCTCTTTCCTCTGCCCCGTGCCCGCCCCGCCGTCCCGCAGGCGTGCGCGCTGGACCCCATGCTGGACGACTCGGTCATGTTCGCGCGGAGGCTGCGCGGCCTGGGCAAGCCCGTGACGCTTCGCGTGGTGGAGGACCTGCCGCACGGCTTCCTGAGCCTGGCTGCGCTGTGCCGGGAGACGCGGCAGGCGGCTGCGCAGTGCGTGGAGTGCATCCGCCTCATCCTCGCCCCGCCCGCCGCGCAGCCGGTCTGAGCTCTGGCCCCAGCCGGGAGATGGGGCTGCGGGGGGCGACACTAAAGGCCTCTTGTTCCCATCTCAGCCGGCCTCCGTGATGAATGCGCCCCGGGTTGGGTGGCGGGGCTCCCCTGAGGGGCTCCCGGCTCCCTCGGGCCGAGCGGGAGGGGCAGGCTGTGCCTTAAGGTGGGAGGACGGCCAGGGGTAGGGGTGGGGGCGGGGGCCCCAAGCCGAGACCCTGGCCTAAGGGGTGGGGGTCGCACACCAACTAGTCTCCATGGACAGCTGGAGCTGCACTCCATCATTGCCTTCTACTGCTGCTGTGACCGCCGCAGGGTGGGGGCCCGGCCCTACCTGGCAAGTCGGTTTGGTTTTATTCCTTTGTAAATAAAAGTATTTAATTAGTTTGGCCTCTTGCAAATAGGGTCGGGTGTCGCCCACCAGGGGGCAGCATCAGGCTCTGCTGCTGGGATCCGAGAAGCCTGGCGGTAGAAAGCTGGGAGTCCAGCTTCTGAATCCTGAGGAAGAAGGGGACTGCAGGCCCGGATTCTTGGGTACGGAGGGACTGGACACCCCTACTAACACACACCACCTTCAGACTTAATCCAGGTGGTGTGCCGGAGGGCTCTGGGTTCTCAGCTACTCCCCTTTGCAGACCCAGCCCCCGCACCCACCCAGAAAAGAAAACCCATACTTCCTAGAGAACTACAGCAAACTTAACAGGGAACCAGAAACAAAACTGGCCACCCCAAATACTGGAAGCCCAAGCTCTGCCCAGCTGTGACAGTCACTCAGTCCCTCAACCAAGACTCGGAGGTCTTGCCCTTTCGTAGGCCCTGGGTTTAGAGCAGAGATAATTTATCCAGGGCCTGCCCTCAAGGGACTCAGGGGGAGAGTGGACAGAGAGACCCAGACACAGGCTGTCACAGTCCCCTCAGATTCCATTAGTGGTAGTCAAGGAGGGCTTCACAGAGGAGGTGATATGAGCTTGACCTTAAAGGAGAAGTGTAAGTTCGCTAGGCAGAAGAAACATGCAAAGTTGTGAGAGCTACTGGGCAGTTATCAAAGCCTCTCCCTGGCCAGAAGGTCAGGTGCAAAATGGGAAGTAGCCTGAGGGGCCTGGAGTGGTCAGCAAGAGCAGATCCTTCTGAAGGGCTTGGAGTGCAATCTGGGCTGTAACTAGAGGGCAATGGGAGCCACAGAAGGACTCTGAGCCGGGGAGGGACAGGATCAGACCCTGAAAGGGCCTGCTGGGACATTGGGGGATGGACTGAAAGGGGCAAGTCCTGGAGGTAGAGAAGGCTGAGGACAGGGATGAGGGTAGGGAGTAGGAGTAGGAGCCATAACTGAGGTTGAAGAGGACTTACTGAGGGTAGAGCAGATGGGGGTGAAAATGGCACCCAGGCTAGCCACAGGAGCACATGGACAGTGAGGCTGTGTCTTTACTGGGAAGAGGCTCTGGTGTGTACAAGGTAGGTGACAGCATGTTTTGCACATGGAGAGATCAAAAGGTATTTGTGAGACCACCCAGGGGGACATTGAGGAGGCAGCAGGAGGCAGGAGAGCAGACTAGATGCTCACTTCTGGCTGGAGCTAGATTCTTTCCAGGAGGAGTGGACAGATGGGATGAGCAGAGGGTCAGGACAGAGAGAGTCCTGAGGGCCCCCCCCAGGAAAGGGGTGGGCAGCAAAAGGGGAGTCAGTCCTGGAGGGTTCTGAGGAGGAGCTGGAGAGAGAAGAAGCTAAGCAGGAAACAAGAGGACATAAAGCAAAGGGGATTTCAGGTGAGAGGGAGTGGTCTGGGTGAGATGAGGATGGAAATATCCCCAACCTCAGCAGGGAGCGGGTGGGTCCTTGGTGACTTGTCCAAAGCCATTGCAGGGCCAGGGATGTGGGCAGCCAGACATGGAGGGCTGAGGAGGGAGTGATTTGAGGAGGTAAGAGATTTGGCCAGGGAATACCTCAAGTCTTCAGCTATGAAAGGGGTGAGAAATAATTCAAGGGAGCTTGATGTAGTGTGTGTGTGTGTGTGTGTGTGTGTGTGTGTGTGTGTGTTTAGAGATGACAGAACATGTTTTAATGCTGCTGGGGAAGGAAGGGAGAGAGGGAGACTGAAGATGCAGAAGTACAAGAAAAGTTTCCTGAGCAGATGGGGACAGGGGGACCCTCACCACAGAGGCCCTCATTCAACCAATAAGTGACTTCGGAGTGAGGGCTGTGTGGGGGAGGGAACCATGGCCCAGAACTCTCCCTAGAGGTCCTGTTCCCTCGTTGAGCTTATAGAACCCCTTGTTCATCCCCCCCAAAACAGTCAACCAGCCACCAACCTGCTCCTATTTCCTGTCCCCATCTCAGGGACAGCTCCTGTACGCCTGTAACCCAGGCCAGAACTCTGGGTCTTGTCCTGGACAGCCCCACAGCCCATCAAGCCCCATATGCTATTGTTTCTACCTCCTGAATCCCTCTCTGCCTTATCCCTTCGGTCTCTGACCTAATCCACGCTTCATCTCCTGCCTGGGTGTCTGCCCAAGCCACCTTCTGGGCTACTGGCATCCAGTCTCGTTCCTCCAGTTCTGGCTGCAGCTCTGACCTGGTCTTCCCCTGCTCTAAACCCTTCCATGGCTCCCCACTACCACCCCGCTCCAGGACAAAGTCTGGCCTGCCAAACTGGCCTTGCCCACTTCTTCCTCTTCCAGCCTTACAGGTACCCCACTGCAAGGACCTGACTGGCCTCCTCCTTGGGCACCTACACACAGTAATATTCCCGCATGCTTTGCTTTCCCCGCTTATGAGGAAACATCCTCCAACACGCTCTTCTCCTTTGCTTGGTACTTCCTGCCCCTCCAGGATCCAGTGCCAATGTCCCCTCCTTCGGAAACCCTTTCCTGACCCAGTAAAGCTAAAAAGGATTCTCCTGTACTCCCCCACCTCGGCACACCCCTGCCCATCAACGTGTCCGTCCTCCCATCTGACCCGGGATCCTCGAGGTCAAGGCCTACGCCTGACTCGTCCTGGTCACCACTGTCGTCGGCCAGCACAAGGCCTAGCACACTGGAAGCCTCAGGAAACCTTTGAGTAATAGTGGCTGAGTGTGCGATGAGCCAGCAAGCGAGTGGCAACAGAAGGAAATGGGAAAGCCAATGAGTGGGAGAGAGAATGAGGGCAGGAGAGACGGAACCAATGGGTGCGCACGCCGGGTAGGAAGAGCAGCCGAGGATCAGTTTTAGGGTCAGAGGAATGGAATGGAGAGATGAACGTCTGGGACTCAATTTCTCCAACAAAGCTAAATGCTCGGTCCCCCGGGCTAAGCGGACCCTCCGCCTTCAACCCCACCAAGCCTCGCCGTTTCCCCTCCGAACTATGTCCAGAATCCCTGTACTGGGCGTGCAGGAAGGGGCTTACCGACTGCACCCGCAGAACCTGTTTCCCTCATCAGCAGCTCCAGCCTCCGCGGTGCGTCGCGGGATTCCCACCCCTCAGGTGCGCGGCCTATTGGTTGACTGGCAAAGCCTAGCGGAGACTGGCGTCCTCCAGAGCCTATCGCCGTCCGACTTACGCTGTGCCCTCCGCCTACCAGTGAACGTCCCCTGAGGGCCCACGGCGACAGGGGCGGAGCGCCTATTGTCTGGAAGATAGTGACTGACGTCATGGGTAGCTTATAATAGCCAGCCTCCGGAGGCCCGCCTCTGGCAGCGGAGGGCGTGGTGGGCTGCAGAAGCGCCCCGAAAGTGGGGTCTGGCTGCTCGCGCTCCTCGCTGGCCACATCCTCGGGTCCCAAGGGAAGATGGAGACTTGAGAAGTCCGGACTCCTTGGTCCTGAGGGAGGAGGGATGGAGGAACCTAGACTTTAGGGTCTGAGGAGCATCTGAATGGATGGTTGGCTCTTGAGGGAGGAGGGAGTTGGGAACCTGAAAGACTCATTGGTCTGCCCAGGGATGACGGATTTGAGGTTTAAGATTTTATGTGGCTATTTATGGGATTGGAGCTAGGCCTTGCCCCAGGCAAGAGTTCTGGGTCCCGCGAGGTGAGGCTTAGAATAGAGATGAAGAGGAGGCGGCTTAGGGGAAGCTCTGGCTTCTTTGTGCTTTTCCACCACCGCCCCCACCCCACAAGGAACCCTGTCTGCCAGGGGCACCCAGAGCGGGAGGAGACTTGAAACTCACATGGAGACAAAGAGAAAAACATTGATACCAAGAGAGATTAAAATGCTAAAAACAATAATTATAAGAGAGCTCTCTCTTGCATGGCATGGACAGGGGCCCCGCTTCTATGCGAAGCATTTCGGTTAATTATCGCATGTCTTCCTCATTACAGTTCTAAGAGATCAGATTATTATAATCCCCATTTTACAAGTGAGAAAATTGATGCCCAGTGAGGAAGAATCAAGATGCAGATGTAAAGAGACAGGAAAGACACAAAACACAGATGGAGATAAACAGACAAAGCGATAAAGCCAGGCCCAGAGAGGTTAGAAAAAGTAGATAGCAAACAAAGGAAGAGGGGCTGCAAGTGGGGACTCCTGGGTGGGGTGGGGGGTTGGGGTCTAGAACTCCTGGGTCCTGGGGTTGGAAGGACCCAAGACCAGGACTTTCAAGTATCTCCTCTCCTGATTTCAAAATACCAGACTTGTCCAACCCTTCTCACTGTGGGTGTTGGACCCGGTTGGGGTAAAAAATAGTGATTAGGAGGGGGCAGGTGTGTCATTATCCTATTAGGAAGTGATAAGAAAATGATTCATGGGGGTGCCCCCAGCCTGGGAGGGGCCTTACCCCCACGGCTTCTGTTCTTTCATCTGGACAGTTTGGGCCTCAGGAAGGACTAGGGAGGGGGGCAGGGCCCTTTCTGTCCCTCTCCACCACTGTGTCTCCATTACTCAGAACTGTCACTAAGCCCCACCATGGAGACAAATGGGCCACCCTGGGACATCTCTCTGGGTCTCTCTGCTTTCCCCACATCTTGAACCAATGCCCACCAGAGGTCCTGGCAAATTGTAGGAGCTCAGCAACTGTGTATCAAATGAATGGACAACCTCTCTGTGCAGTCCTTCCTCCGTCCCCATCCTAACCATCCCTCTGTGTCCCATTGTGTTTCTCAGCCTCTCCCTGGCCTCACCCATCTCCTCCCACCTTCCCTTTCACACAAGGGTTCCTTCTGAGGCCACAGGACCCTTCATCCCCAATAAGAAGAAACTGAGACTTTGGGGTACCTGGGTGGCTCAGTTGGTTGAGCATCTGACTCTTGAATTTTAACTCCAGTCATGATCTTGAGGTTCTGGGATCAAGACCTGTGATGGTCTCCACGCTCAGCTGGGAGTCGGCTTGAGATTCTCTCCCTCTCGCTCTGCCCCTTCCCCCCTCGAATAAATAAATAAATATTAGAAGAAGAAGGAGGAGGAGGAGAAGGGGAGGAGGAAGGGGAGAAGAAGGAGGAGAAGAAGAAGAGGAGGAAGGAGGAGGAGGGAAAGAAGAAACTGAGGCTCATTTTGGGAGGAGGAGGAGGGGAAACTGAGGCTCGTTTTGGGAGGGGTTGCCCTCCCAGGGTCACCTGGGGGACATGAAAAGGAGGAGCTGAGAGTGGGGTTCTCACTCTCAGCTCACAATATACAGACACATTCCCGGCATCTGAGAGTCAGAAATGCAAGATCAGCACACCTGGGTGGCTCAGTCGGTTAAGCATCTGCCTTCGGCTCAGGTCATGATCCCAGAGTCCTAGGGTGGAGCCCCACATCACATTGGGCTCCCTGCTCAGTGGGGACCCGCTTCTCTCCTCTGCCCCTAGCCCTGCTCTCATGCTATCTCACACAACCAGAGAATCATGGGCACCACGCGATCGCCTACAAACACAAACACAAACACAAACATCAGCACACAATCACACAATCACCCTTACTGACAACACACACACAGAAATACCTTATTCCACATGCAAATCAGACACCCCAGGTATGCAATTACACGCCCAGCCATGGGCAGGGCACGCACTCAGTCCCGGCCAGGACCACGAGCAGACTTGGTCTGTTCTTGACTATATCTCCAGCAATTAGAACAGCACCTCGCCGTCATCACAAAACGTTCCCAAGGGCCAGGCTCAGTTCAAAGTCCTTCCCATGAACTAACCCGTGGAATCCTCTCAACCACCCTATTTGCCAGCACTCACTTTGCAGATGGACACAGGGAGGTCCAGGCAAGCATAGTCATTGGCCGAAGTTTTCCCGGCCACGAAGAGGCTGCGACAATTTGAACCCAGGTACACGAGACTATTACTCAATAAATCATTCCTTCCTTAATCCAGTCAGAGTTAAAGAACCATGACAACTGACCACACCTGAACCAGATGCACAGTAGGGAAGGAAAAAAAAATGCACTTCGGATAAAAGACGCCCTCACTTGGGAGCCTGGGTAGCTCAGTTGGTTAAGGGACTACCTTCGGCTCAGGTCATGATCCTGGAGTCTTGGGATCGAGTCCTGCATCCGGCTTCCTGCTCAGCGGAGACTCTGCTTCTCCTTCTGACCTCTCCCCTCTCATGCTCTCTCTTTCTCTCAAATAAATAAACTCTTAAAAAAGAAAGAAAGAAAAGACCCCCTCACATGTCACACCTCAGAACACATAGGGACTTTGGGATAACCCCCACAGAGACACACAGCACCCAGAGAGAGACGCACACACCACACGCAGAGACACAACACACCCAAACCCAGTCCCACCCAGAACTCCACTGAGCTCTTGCTCTGCTCCCAGCACCATTGGGCAGGCCCTCGAGGAAGTAGCAGGCTCAGGATGGGAAGAGGGGGCAACCTCACTTGTCCGCTCTGCCTGACTGGTTCCACGAGGGCCCGGGGTGGTGGCACCACCCGCCTTATGAAACCCACATTGGGCAACTGGACCCAGACCTGTCCTGGACGCTTGGATTCTGGAGACAAAGGGGCTGGGAGCCTGAACTCCTGGTACCCCCATCCTGGATTCTAGGGGACAGGAGGATGGGGATCGGGACCTGGACTAGCAGGTTCTGAGGAGGAAGAGCTGGAGGTCTGTGATCCTGGGTTCTGGAAAAAGAGGGGCCAGGGACTTGGATTCCTTTCCTCTGTCTTTAAAGGCAGGGTTCCAGAATTAGCAGATAAAAATACAGGACACCCAATTAAAGGTGAATTTCAGATGAACAACACATAATGTTTTTAGTATAAGTATATCCCAAATATGGCATGGAACATACTTAAGCTAAAAAAAAATTGTTAGGACACCTGGGTGGCTCAGTCGGTTAGGTGTCTGCCTTCATCTCAGGTCATGATCCCGGGGTCCTGGGATCGAGTCCTACATCCGGCTCCCTGCTCAGCGGGGAATCTGATTCTTCCTCTCTCTCTCTCTCTCTCTCTGACAAAGAAAGAAATAAAAATAATCTCAGGTCATGATCCGAGGGTCCTGGGATCGAGTCCTGCATCCGGCTCCCTGCTCAGCGGGGAATCTGATTCTCCCCCTCTCTCTCTCTCTCTCTGACAAAGAAAGAAATAAAAATCTCAAAAAAAAAAATTGTTTACCTGAAATTCACATTTAACTGGGCATCCTATATTTTATCTGGCAACCCTACTGAGGGGATGGATGCCAGGTGTGGAGACCACCATGGCCACTGGTCAGCCCCCAGGTGCGAGTTCTTCCTGCTCCTGCCCTCTTCCTCACCCCTAAGCAAGCCACCTCACAGCTTCCCCACCCGATTTCCTCATCTACATGAGTTTCTGTCTAATTGCAGCCCCAGGCTGTGTCGGAGTGGGGAGAGGAAACCTGAGGACAAGTCGGGGTGTCATCCTGGGAGCCTTAGGGTCCTCAGAGATGACTGACCCTGAGTCATCAGCAGCCCATGGTCCATCCAGCTCGGGGGTGGGGCCTTGGGGCTGCCTCCACAGGGAGGCCTGGAGATGGTGATATGGGGATGGGAGGCAGAGACCCCGGCACGAGGGCAGGAGACACACAGCTTGGGGGAACGGAGAATCAGAGATGGGGGTGAGAGAACCCAAGCAACTTGGAAACAGATTGGCAGAGATCAGGAAAGAGATTCAGAGCTGGCGAGGTGACGATGCGGAGATGGGGGCACAGGGACCCTAGACCAGAAGTGGATAGAAGACGTTCCCCAGACGTTCAGGCTCCTGGACCAAGGGACAGACATGCACCAACAAAATGCCAAGTGCCACTCATCAGTCTGGGGACAAGGATAGCGAGCCATGTGGGTGGTGCTGGGAGACCAAGGCTTGGGTCCTGCTGTGTGATAGATTAGGAGGTAAGGGAAAAGCTGGGATCCCAGGCTGACAGGGTGAACCACCTGCCATCACCCATACCCATTCCCAGTGGGGTGACACCTTCTCTGCAGGTGACACCCCAATTTTCCAGCACCTCCTACATTTTTGGGGTGACACCCGTGCTGGAAACCCCACCCAGCTCTAATGTTGCTTCCCTCACTGAGTCACTTCCAACCCTGCCAGGCCTGTTGGGGGCAGACTTTGGTGACTCAGGCTTCCAGGCCCCTCGCTCTTTTCACCTCTCAGAAGCCCAGCAAAGATCCCAGGACCCCTGCCTGTACACTCAGGGGAGCAGCCCAGCCTAACCCAGGAGTCTACACCACCAGCCAGAATCTGAGCCCCTCCCCCTCCTCTGTTAGGGGCCCAGATAAAGCGCCAGCCTCTCATCCCTCAGACTCAGGAGTCCAGGCCCTGCTCCCCCCTCATCTGCTCTGTTAGTTATCACCCCTGACCCCACCCCAGTCCTGAGCCACATCCACCTCCTTCCAGAGCCACAGCTTCTCAGTTCCCAGCCTCCTCCCTTCCCAGTTTGAAGGTGGAGTGAACTGTGTATATTTACTTTGGTTTCAGCACGAGTCACCCCCAAACACTGCCCCCCATGTGCCTGGTGGCCCCGAATGGGAGAACAGTGCCCCCTCTTCTAGGGAAGTGGGGGGGAAGTCCCCTTGAAGGGGACAGGGGAGGCCGGGGAACCCCCACTGCACTCTCCTGCAGCCCCATTCCTTCCTCCACCTCCCTGCCCCTCCACTTTCCACCTCTGTGTCTCTTTTCTGAATCTGGCTCCTCTTTGCTGTTTCTCCCCAGATCTTTGACCCTCTTTGTCTCAGCATCTCTCTCTTCACCTCTCTATATCTTCGTCTCTCTCCATCTCTCTGATCCCCTCTCTCTCTCCCATCTGGACCTCTCCCCTTTTGTCTCTGTGTCCCCCATTTCCTCCCCATCTCTCTGCCTTCCCTCTCTTGCTGTCTCTTAACTGTGGCCCAGCTGCACTCCTCACGCCTCCCTTCTGCCTTCTCTCCTCCATCCTTCTGTCTCTCTGCCTGCTCCCCTTTTCGTCTTCCCTCCCAGCTCTGCATCCCTGCCCCCCTCCCTGATTTCCTTGGTCCCACAAGAACTGGAGGGGAAAAGGGGGGGAGGGAAGATGGAGAGCAAGGGAGGGGAAGTTCTTGTGGGGGGAAGAGGGTCAGCCAGACCGGCTGGGCTCCCTGGGCACCTCCGCCAGAGCCCCGCCCAGGATTGAGTGGCCCGCCCCAATATAAGCAGCTCCTGGCCAGAGACAGAACTCAGTGCCCAGCTCACCCACACCTGTCCGCATCATTGCCATCGCTGTCCTGCAGGTAGGAGCATCTGCCCACGGCCCTCGGCTCTGTGCTCCCTGCACCCGGCTCCACTGACCTCTCTGTCTCCTTGCATTTCTCTGTCTCAGTGGACGTTTCTGTCTTTCTCAATGCCCTCCGTGTCCACCTTCTCAACCTCAGCGGTGCTGGGTTGAACTTGGAAGTTCTGGGGCCCAGCACCGCCTCTACTAACTCCCTTGGCCTTGGCCATCGGATGTGGGGCATTTCTCCTCACCTCTCTGAGCCTCAGTGTTCCATCTGTGACATGGGCTTGCAGAGAAGATAAGGCACTGGACAGGTGTGAGTGGTACTGGTGGCATCTCTTTGGGCACTGGCTCTGATCTCTTTCTCTCCTTGTCTCTGACTCTGCCTTCTCTTTCACCTGCTCTGTCTCCAGCTCTACCTCTGCTATGAGGAAGGTCCTCTGGGGTCTGTCGGGCAGCGGTACAGAGACGGGCGAGTTTCTCGCCCTCACCCCATACATCCCTACTCCATGTTTCTGCCAGCTGGAAGGCTGACTTGGCCTCTTTCTCCCCAGCACCCTTCCCCCTGAGAACCCAGCCCCCGGTGCCCCTGCTCCTTGCCCACCCCCCCACCCCAGTATCCCGCAGCCCTTGGACTCAGCCACTGTCTCCGCTGCCACCTCTGCCGTCCCCAACGCCGCCACCTCCTCAGGGCCAGCAAGATGCAGTTTGAGATGCACGACAACGTGAAAGGCAAAGGTGGGATCACTGGAGGAACCAGCAACCCTTCCAGTCCCTGGAACCTGGCAGCTTCCCTCCCCTGGGCACCCCTGGCTTCGAAGACAGATGGCGCCTGATTGCACCCCAGAGGCCTGGAAGTGCGGGAACCCAGCACCCCAGGCCCAGACGTGGAGGAGGCGGCGGAGGCACCTCTCGGCCCCGCCGGAAGTGGCACCCACCCTTCCCCAAACTTGCAGGAGCTCCCCACCCACAGCTCAACCAGATGCGCAGGAGGCAGTGGCGATGGGGACAGACTGGGTTGTCAGTGCCTAAACGTGGCCGAAAGGAGGCGGGGGCAGTGGTGTCTCCTCCGTGGGCGGCCTGGTGGCCCCGCCCAGACTGCCCGGCAGAGGAAGGGGTGGCAGGGACGTGGGGTCCGGGAGGGGCTGTCGGGCTGCCCACTGACCCTGGCCCACCACCCTCGCAGCCATGTCCTACCCAGTGACCAGTCAGCCCCAGTGCGCCAGCAGCTGCTACCAGACCCAGCTCAGTGACTGGCACACAGGACTCACGGACTGCTGCAACGACATGCCCGTCTGTGAGTACAGGCAGCTCCTTCTGGGAGGGGGCGCGGCCCCACCAACGCTACGCCCCCTCGCTGCCTCAGACCCTGAATTCCCACACTCTGCCTTCACCCCTTCCTCCACCTCCAACACTCCCTAGGATCCTGACCTCACCTCTTCCAAGCTCCCCAGAGACCCTCAACCTCCCCCCTTGTACTCTCAACTTTCCCCGTTGTGGCCCGAGCTCCCCCTCCAAACCCTACCTCGCAGCCCCTAAACCACCCCCGCTGGGACCCTTCATTCCCTCCGGGACCCTCGCCTGGGCGCCGCGGACCATCGGCCTCGCCCCTCCCCGCGGCGGAGCCGGCCCGGGGCGCCCGGTGGAACCCGCTCTGACTGCCCCGCGCCTGCCCCCAGGTCTGTGCGGCACTTTCGCCCCCCTGTGCCTCGCCTGCCGCATCTCGGACGACTTCGGGGAGTGCTGCTGCGCGCCCTACCTGCCCGGAGGCCTGCACTCCCTGCGCACGGGCATGCGGGAGCGCTATCACATCCAGGTGCGTGCGAGTCGCGGGGCCGGGGTGGGGACTGACCTCCTGGGACCCTAGGCGGGGCTCCTAACCCCTCTCTCTCCCACCCTCTAGGGCTCTGTTGGGCACGACTGGGCGGCCCTCACCTTTTGTTTGCCCTGCGCCCTCTGTCAGATGGCGCGGGAATTGAAGATCCGAGAGTAAAGAAGCTCCCCGCGCCGCCTTTTCCACCTGTCCCGCCCCGGCCCCCTCTGTCCTCTCTGCCCTCTCGTGGGAGGGCCTGCCCCTCCGCCCTATCCCGCTACCAGAAATACACCCACAATAAAAACCTGAAAACCAACCCCGCCCACATTCTTTTTGTCCCAGGGAAGGAATCTGGGTGGAGAAGGAGTTTGGGTGAGGGGTGTGGGGACACAGGGAAGATGCCTAGGTGTGGAAGGATGCCAGAGTCAGATCCTTGAGCCCAGCCTGCTGTGTACGACAGTGACAAGCCTCCTGCCTCGCTAAACGGTGTGTGTGGGGGGGGTGTACTCATTAACAAAGTGAAACCACTAAGCCCTTAAGCTGCCCAAATGAAGTTCTGCAGGGATCCTGAAAATCAGCAAAACCAGATAATGCTAAAAAAAAAACAAAAACAAAAACGTAGAAGAGCCCCTACCCTACCCCTACTAACTCAATACCTATGGACTCTTGGCCTACACACAACCCTAACAAGTTTTTTTGGAGGGGCGGGGCGGGGCGGGCGGGCGGGGGGGGGGGGGGGGGGGGTGGGGGGATGGGAGGGTCCTTTGTCTCCAAAGCAGAGAACTGCTAGGTTTAAGGCTCCCTGGAGCTAAAACGAATCCTTAAAATCACCCAGCTCTCTTTACTGCAAAAGCGACTAGCAGATTAGAAAATCTGGTATCAAAATGGGGCAGACCTAGGATCCGATCTTGACTCTTGCCACTTACTAGGCGCTTTATCTTTTTTTTTTTTTAACATCTTATTTATTTATTTGACAGAGATCACAAGTAGGCAGAGAGGCAGGCGGTGGGGCGGGGGTGGGGGGGTGGGAAGCAGACTCTCCACTGAGCAGAGAGCACGATGCAATGCGTGGTTCGATCTCAGGACCCTGGGATCATGACCTGAGCCCAAGGCAGAGGCTTAACCCGCTGAGCCACCCAGGCGCCCCTGTGTGTTATCTTATTGAATCAAGAAGCCTCTGAGCCAGTTTCCTCTCTGAGGATAATCCCTAATATGTCATATGGCTACTGTGTGAGCAAGAGGCGAAACAGATGGAGAGACCAAAGAGTGAGCTTAATAAACTTGTTAATATTATTATGTATAATGATATTATAACATTCTAATATGTTATTTGTATTATTTGCTGTTATTCTCTCTCTCTCTCCATCTGTGTATCCAACAGTGACATCTTCACTTGGAATATCTAATAGGCATCTCAAATATAAAAACCTAACTCCAGGGACACCTGGAGGCTCAGCTGATTAAGCATCTGACTCTTGATTTTGGTTCAGGTCATGATCTCAGGATCGTGAAATCCAGCCCTGTGTCGGGCCCATGCTGGGCATGAAGCCTGCTTAAGATTCTCTCTCTCCCTCTACTGCCCTAACCCGCAAGTACTCTCACTCTCTCTCAAAATAGAATAAAACCTAACTCCAGATTCCCTACCCAAAACCTGCTCCTCCCAGGCTCCCCCTCTCAGGAAATGGCAAACCCCGTCTTCCCAGCTGCTCAGTCACTTTGTTATCCAACACCCCAATCTGTCAACAAATTCTGTTGGTCCTACTTTCAGAATATACCCAGAACCTCTCTTCTCCCTACTCTGCTACCCCCACCTTATTCTATCCACCCTCCTCTTTAGCCTAGACTAATGCAATGGCTCCTCACTGGGCTCCCTGCCCAATCTCCACATCTTTAGTTTCCTCCCACAGAAAATCCCTTTGAACACCTGAGTTAGGTCATATCCCTCCTGCGCTCTGAAACTTCTCATGGCTCCTCCTGCAGAGTGCAAGCCGGAGCCCTCGCTGTGGCCCAAGGACGTGCACCATCTGCTTCCTGCTTTCCCTGTGACCTTATCTCCTTTTTCCCTCTGACTCCAACCACAGGAGTCTTGTAGCTGTTTCTCAAATGCTAGTTGTGCTCCCACCTCAGGGCCTTTGCACTAGCTATTCCCTCAACTTGGAATTTTCTTCCCTCTGATGTCCCTATGGCTCATTCTTTCTCTTCTGCCCACATGCCATCTTAAGAGAAAGGCCTTCCCTTCCACCTTGTATTCCATAGCGAGTACTGAGCCCCCTTCCCCTCCTTCATCGCCCTTTTTGGCCATATATCTACATACCACATCATTTACTTATTTACTATCTGGCTCCCTGCTGGCCTGTCAGCTCCATGAGGGCAGCGACCTCATTCACTGCTGAATTCCCAGCACCTCGAACAGTGTTGAGCTCACTGCAGGTGGGGATGAGTGATCACAGGTGGGAGACATGGACACAGAGAAGGGACATGATTTTAGACGTAATTGGGGGAGGGGGCAATGGACTGTCAGGCAGGCTTGTATCAGAATCTGGGCTCACCTGTTTATCTGCCCTGAGTCCCTGGGCAAGGGACTTAGTTTCCAGATCTGCAAAATGGGGGCACAAACCTGTACCTCCCAGCATTGATGTTGAGAAGAGTAAAAGACACACCAAACATCCAACACTCCCTACCCAGAGTGCTGTAGTCCCCCCCTTTCCCTGAAGCCCTTAGGTAGGCACTGATAGCCATAGATAGACCCCCAAATCCAGACCTTCATGCTCCCCTGCTCAGGCTTTCTCTCACACTCCCCAAGCCTCTTGCATTCTGGTACGTGGGCAGCAGGGGGAGGTGCCAGCTAACTGGGGTTGGGGAGACAGTTACTATAGGGCATCCGTACAGGGGCAGCTGCACAGTATGGACAAGAGCTGGAGAGGGCAGCTCTGCGTCCCAGGGAAAGGACCCAGTCACAGTGCAAATGCTCTGTCCCAGAAGGCACAGTCCCAGGCAGGAGGCGCAGAAGGGTCCTTACCAAAGGTCTGATGGTAACTCAGGCAAGTCTTGAAGAACCACCTTAGCTCCTTTCTGGAGGTGCAGGATGACCATGCCACTGGCCTGGGCTCCACGAGGCAGCACGCCCTGCTTCTGGTGAGCTGCCTGGTGGGGAGATGGTGCCTCATCTCCAACAGAAACTGGTTACTTCAAACACCTTCCCTAGTGCCCGCTCTGTGCTGGGACAGCTCTCAGCTAGGTGGGCGAAGTAAGAACCTGCACAACATCCCTTTTGCTTTCTCTGTGACCTTGTCTCCTCCTTGTTCCTTCATTCCCTGGGGCTTCCCTCCTCAGGGAGTGAGGGGGCCCAGTGGTCGGGCATTCAGATTTGAGTCACCCAGCAGCAGTCATTCAACAGCTAAATGACGTCTATGAACTTTCCTGTCTTCTCATCTGCAAAACGGGACCACACGGTTACCTCCCTCATCTGGTTGTTGGGCTGGAATGTGGCCAAGTGAACCGCCTAGCACGGGTTCTCAGCAGATACCAGTTCGAAGTCAAGTCATGGAGGTGAGGCAATACCAACAGCTCATCAGGGCAGAACTCCTGTGCGGGCAGAGTCATCCCCGAAAATCCCTTCCATTGCCCATAAATCTGAAAATACAATGATTTTCGTGGACCACACTGGAGACCCAAACACCCCCTAAGTGCTCCTCTCTGCCGCGTCTTTGACTAACCATCAGAGTAAGCCACCAGCCGGGGCCCGGGGGCTGGCTGAATGGGAAGGCATGGTGCTTACCTCTCAGCCAGACTCCCTAGCCCCCACGAGGCCGATGGAGGGCCCATTTCCACTGCTGGCACCACACTCTGGCTTGCCCTAGGGGCCTGGCAAAGAGATGACGGTCCCTGTTTGGGCCAGGAGAGCCTTCTTGGATTCGAGGAATCCAGAGTTGTGGGATCTTCATCTGTTTGCCTCCACTCTTCTGTCAGAGGCCAGAATAAAACCCAAAACCCCAGATCTAGGGAATCTGTTTTCCCTCCTAAGGAAAGGAGGGGCTCCCTGCTGTCTCCCTGCCACAGGGATCTTAGGAAAGGCTAGAGGTCACCTCCCCTAGGTCCGCCCTTTCTAGGGACGAGCAGAATAGCTTCCCACCCCAGCTAGGAGACACAGAGTGGAGCCAGGCCAAGCCACGGGGCTCCGAGGGGCCAAGGTAAGCACACCGACTGGATTTATCCACACTTGGGTGCTGTTCAGAGAACAAGACGCCCCCCACCCCTGCATGCAGACAGCGCTCAGACACCGGCCTTCCCCACATTCTTTATTTGTGGCTTCAACTGCTCCTCCCTCTTTCAGCCTCATAGAAGGGGGCCCCCAACAGAGAAGAGGCAGAGCCTAGCTCCACAAGGTCCAAACACGCAGCTGGCAGATGGAGTCTTGCAAAAAGGAGTCCCAAGTTCAAGATGGCTAGGATGGGGGTGGACCTCAAGAGGGCCGGCCGGGAGCTCCAAAGTCCAAGTGGTGGCTGTGTGGGCAGGGAGCAGCCCCTAGGAAGAACCCCCACATCTTCAAGGCAGCACCGACTGGGAAGAAAGCACGCACGCGCGCACACACACACACACACACACACACACACACCCCACCCTGGGTGGCATCCCCAGCTTTGCCTCCTGGGACTCCTGCTGAGCTGGGTGACCCTGGTCCTAGGGTCAGTGACACCATCCGAGCCTTGTCCCTCCAGTCTCAAGGTGACAGCTGGTCCCTGGTGTTGCCTCACAGTCCCACCTCTGATCAGCAGACCGGAACAGCCAATCCCCTGCACTGGGTTCCTTCCGCTGAAATATGCAGAGCAGTCTGTCTCCCTGGCTGGGCCTGACTGAATGATGCTCACAGGGCATCTCAGAGCCTAAGGCTAGACTTCTGACCCCACGAGCCCCAGGCTGCCCCACGGTAATGGATGGCCCCCACCTTCCTCCCAGAGCTCGGGCCACAAGGTCAAGATCGTTCTGGATTCCCCTCCCCCCACAACATCCACATACATCCTGCACCTGTCCCTGACCCACCCCCTCCCCACCACCATCCTAGTCCAGCCCACTGTTGTGTCTCATCCCCTCTGACCCATTTTGAGCAGGCACATCGGATCCTGTCATCCTCCCTCACCCACCTGTCCCGTGGCTTCCCAGTGCCCTGGGAATAAAACTCAAAACCCTATCTGGGGCCTTACATAG